GAAATAGCGAATGTTCGAGATAGCGGGCAGTCGAGATAGCGGATGTCAACTGTATTTATCAATATTTCTATGAAAAAGATTTCCTATGCGCCTAGAAAAAGCCAATTTCTCTCACACAAAAAAAACTGTTTTCTTTCCGCGTTCACTTAGGAAATAGACCTTAACAACTTGGTAATGCAATTTTTATATTTGTTGATTCATTTCGGTTATCTTCAAAGCGTAATTCCAATTCACCTCCAGGTAACCGAATTGTTTTAATGAATTGGTATGAGCCATGCGCTGTGGCTTGTTCTACCATGACATGGAAGTTTGCCAAATCAATTTTTATTTTATTTGATATTTTTCTTGAGTCGACTTCTTTAACTGTAATTTGCATATAGCTAGAAAAAGAGTGGCAGGTTTTACGGCTTAGAGCACATTGTTAAAGCGTCGTATGAAAATCATTCCAATTTCGAGGCAATGATTATGGGTCACTTTTTGAAAGTATTTTGCATTCAGACTTGTGTTGTGCTTGTTAAAAGCAACTTTGTTACATTTGGCCACTTTTATCATGTAGCTGAAGGTGAGAATATTGACGAAGAGTCGAAGAACAACGAAGTATTTATCAAACAAGAGTTTTTTACTTGTAGTAGAGAAGAAACTTGTTCTCGTCTCTTAAAAAGAGATCAAGGTGCGAAGAGTTTCACTTTTCATAAAAACAAAGGTGCTGACTGGAACAAAATTAAACAGCCATCGGGTAGGTTTCTTTTGTACTGGATGCATAATGATTCTAATTTTCTTTTTTATTCTTTTCTTCAGGAAGATTGTTATGGTAATATCCGAGTTTAAAAAAGAACCAGGATGTATTTCTAGCATAGGAATGAAATCTTTACAAACCTTAGATTGACCAAAACTATTGTCTATGCAATTACCGCAATGTATGTATACAAAAATTATTGTAGGGGAAAGGGGGAGGGGGGATACAAAGAGGTGTCAACAAGCAGGAAGTCCGGGGTGTCACCCCCCCCCCGGGAAATTTTGATGAACACGCTCTTAAGAACTTGGAAAAGGCTCATTTTGATAATGCGTTTTGGAACGCCATGGCTTTATTTACGTGGCAATGTTTGGCTAATCAAACACAACAACTCTCATATGCAGCTTTTTGCGGCCAACCCCATGCCCATGTTACATGTCGAACTTTATTTTTCCTTCACAACTCCTTTAATGTTAATATTCTGAATTGTGTAAGGTGAGGAAGCTCTACGTGTGGAAACTGATTTTTCAAGGTTTTAAGCAAATATCTTAAATCTGCGAGCAGAAAATTTTAGCGACCACGCCCTTAACATTAGCTTAAAATACATTCCAGAATATTTCTTACTCTAGATTTCTAGCAGTATTTTAATTTTCTCTGAACAATCAACCAGCCTCCCTCCCTCAAAACCTAAGAGGTACGTCTCTGTATATATTGAAAAATTCGTGTTGCAAGAACATCTACAGCAATGCTCAACAACCCTAGACTGTGCTGTATGCATTTTGAAATGATTTTGTTCATCCCCTAGATTGCAAAGATTTACACGAAAGCGGTAACAGAAAAAGTGGCGCCTACCACATAACCAGACCGAACAAGCAAGTATTGAAGGTTTACTGTGATATGGAAACAGACGGCGGAGGTTGGACTGTGATACAGCGACGTATTGATGGCTCAACCGACTTCAACCGTGGCTGGTCTGATTATAAGCACGGATTTGGTGATGTTGAGAAAGAAATGTGGATCGGGTTAGAGAACATGCACTCTCTTGCCAGCCCTAGTTCTAACACAACTCTACGCATAGAGTTGAAGCATTTTCTTAAAGGTAATCAATCGCTTTTTGCCAAATATGGTAGCTTTAAGATTGCTGACGAAACTGATGGATATCGTATTAGTCATTCTGACTACAGTGGAACAGCGGGCGATGCTTGCAATATGGACCCTCCCTCGGTCAGAATGAATGGCATGAGGTTCTTTACAAAGGATTTTGACAACCACTTCAAATGTAGTGTTCTTTTAAAGGGTGGATGGTGGTTCAACTCTTGTCACAGCTGCTATCTTAATGGATTGATGCCGTATGAGCCCATTATCTTCCCAGAATACATCTCTTGGAAAAGCATTAACTCGGAGTGGGGCAACATCTACTTTTCTGAAATGAAGCTTAGACGTAACTGAGCGTCCTAAACCCTCTGTGACTCTTTAGATAACAAGATTAGTTATACTTGATATGTTAAACCTTTGACTTTATGTAACCAGCCAATTAGCATTTCGCATTTTGTTATGGGGTTGTATGCCAGTTCATTTCTAAGTTGCTTGTAGCTTAGTTGAGAATTTGGATAAGATTGAAATCATGCACTTGAATGTTTCTTTCTATTGAACTTAAACGCTACACAGACAATCAATTTCAATGTGTATTAACTGTTGGATTTCAAGCAACATTTGCTGCTCGATCAGCTTTTTACGAAAATGTATAAAGAATATCATCTGTTCAATTCCAAGCAGCATGTCTTTCAATCACGAACAGAAAATGTTAAAAATGAGAACTATCAGTGAACATACATGCTGGTTATCTTCTCTAGCATTAACACTAAGTACAAATTATCTCGGCGTTGTATACGGTGCCCACATTAACAAAAATGCTTAGAAACTGTCTATAAAGATAAATTGGCATCTCAGCTGCAATGTGGCACTAATGCATGATCTTGACAATACTCTTTCTACCATACTAATTTGCATTTAATTAAAAATTGGCTTTACCAAGTTGCAGGATAGAAATATGCTGGAACAAGATATTTTGTGGAGTCCCAAGACGAAGTAAAAGTTGCTCCCAGGCAATGAAGGCACCTCTGAAGGCACACCAGCAATGAAGTTCTGAATAAAATGCAAACTTTGTAAAAAGATGTCTGGAAAGGACATGTATATTTCGAAGAGGCAGGACTCCAATGAAAATATATTGATGGATGTCAACTCTTTATTAGGGGAGCCAAACTTTGGAAGAAAAGCAGTAGCCCCCATCCCCAAGACAGAAAGGAAAATCTAAAAAACAAACTCATCTAATTATGAAACTACAGTAGGTATACGAGTAGTTTACACTTCCTAATTGGTTGAACCTCTGAATATCGAGCTTTCAAATGTTTCGTGAATGATTAGAATGATTTGATTTATAAATCGTGAATTATAAATCAATTAAACTTTGCAGGGAATGAAAGAGAGAAGAAACGCGCGTACTGTCAAAGGGTTTTCCAAGTTGAGCATGGTTCTTTTACGCCATTGATTTTCGCTCACAGTGGTGGTTCAAGTAGAGAAACTGAAAAGTTCACATCGGTTTTATCTATGAAGATTTCAGAGATACGTGATCAATCAATTTCAGTAGTGACTAATTGGATTCGCACAAAGCTATCATTTGCACTTCTTCGTAGTGCCATATTATGCATACGTGGTTCCAGGAATAGGCGAACAACAGTTGAAGTGGACACAACCAACATAGAAATTGTAGAAACATCATCCCGGATTGATTAATTAAAGTTGTTGGATAAAATAAAATAAAAGTCAAGTTTTTCAAGTTTTTTTCTAAACATGTGTAAACCGGCGGCTTTTCGGTATATAAACAGCGCCAAATGTTGAATCATCGATGAGAAAAAAAAACTTCTGATCAAGTATCAAAAAGTGTTTTGACTTTTTCCATGTTTCACTTGTTCAATTCAAAATCTTTACGCTTAAAAAATTTACCTATTTGACCGCAAATGTTTTTACCAGCACCGTTTAGTTTAGCCAGTACTTAAAATCCATGCAAAGTGTTGTGCCTGCGCCAGAGTTTACTAGGATGGGAAAATCCGGAAAAGCCTCTGGTGGCGAAATGGCTTTCGACCAGCAAGATGAAGGTCTGAACCCAAAGAAAATAAAATCATTTCATTTCAACGGAGCAGACGTATTCACATACTAGTCCATGCCACTGTCATCATTAGCTAAATATTCAATATTCGACATAAAACGCAGATGTTCACAAAAAGTCGAGGTCAAAATATAAGGGAATGGAAAGTTTTAGCAAACAGAAAAGTACTTTAATCAAGCTTCATTAACAAAGATTTTGAGAACACATAATCAATACTCTGTCACAACAGTTCTGAGCAAACCAATGTTTTAAAAGTTCGCGAGTGTTAATAAACGGCGAGGGTCTGCAACAGCAACAAAATTATTGAGAACAAGTTGTTTTTCCTCATTCTTCAATACATTAGAAAAAAAGCAAAGCTACGGGCGACTGATTACTGTAAATGGGTTGCTGACATGAAATTTTTATAGATAGCTTTAACGTGTTGATGATTTTGAACGTCCATATAATCTAGCGAATAGAAAGTTACCATTAATGTATATAATTAACCCTTGGTCAATGCTTTGTTTTTAAAAATTGTTGTCCGTTCAGGCCAACATCCCTGCTAGAAACTGTGTTACCGCCCCATTACTTCTTTTGAAGACAAAGTTTCAGTATTTTCTCTTTCAATGAGAATAAATTGGGCATTGTTTTTTTTATTTAATTAAGAAAGAAGTGGGATTTTCACATCGAGCAAACTTTCCACTTCACGTTTAGGTGAACAAGAATTGAACATTCAAAATAAACATTTCATTTCTAGCAAAAAGATTTGACATTTTCGACAGATCTTTGAGTCATTTTCAGACCATTCAACTTCTATGACCATTCGAAAAGCAACTGCATATTCACCAAAAAGGTGACTGCAGATAATCTGAAAAGTAGCCTGCGCGCAAGAAGCAGGGCCGCACTAAGGACTTTGGGGGCCCTGGGCTCACTGGTGTTATGGGCCCCTCCTAAGTATGCAAAGGTGCTGAGAGAAGATACTTGCAGACAGAATTAAAGAGGCATATGATCAATGGATTAGGTTATTATATAACTAAAAACAAACAAAACAGAACTACAGCAAATCTCGAAAAAGGCAAACAAAAAATTGATTTAACGAGTTGTAAAACAAGTAAATAGGTTCTAAAATTTGTGTTTTCTTGCCTTAGTAAGTGCAAATTTTCTACTAAGTTTTTGAACATCTAATTTTCTTAAAATATCCGTATTGGATGCCATCAAACACAGTGCCACGTTTCTTTCTTGTGACATTGTTGAACGAAACTGGTTCTTAACTCTTTTCAAAATGGAGAAGCTTCTTTCTCCAGAGGCAACACTGCAAGGCAATGTTAACAATAGCCTCAAAGCGATCATAACATTGGGAAATGTGGCTTGGGTATTGTTATTCCTGACAAGGTTAAGTAAAAACTGCCCAGTTGATATTTCTTTAAGCTCTTGCTCTTTCATTCCTTTTCCTCTGCTGACTCTTTCTTTCCCTTGCGTTTGTTTTTTACATTCTCTCACTTTGGTTATGTATTTCTGAAGCGGTTCCTTAGCATAATTGAAAAATTGCATCATTTCGTGCTCCATATCATCATCAAAGTGCCCTGGATATGCATGTGTTAAGGCCTTGCACCCTTCTGAAATTTCTTCTGTTCGTAATGCACAGATAAACCCAAATCTCTGTTCAATAACATCATAGCTAGCTTTTCGCGTGGAAAGTTCTGTTTGTAAGCTGTCGATGATGGGCAAATACGTGCCAATGTAAAATTTCTCTCCACCAACTAACTCCACTTCTTTTGTTGCACTTTCGTCTGCCAGTCTTGGTCTTTTCTTTTTCCTTTTCATTTCATCTTTGAATTGCTGTTCGGTGCTGTCTAGAAACGTTTTGGCCTTATCAAGATACCGTTGGTATTCTTCTTTATTTCGCATCCCCGAAATGAATAGCTCTAGACTGTTCAATAGATCGATTGCAGAAGGCATCTTCAGGCTCACTGTTTGAAGTGACAAGTTACTTATGTGTATTCGCTTTAGAAGATCATTCCAAAACACAGCCATCAACGCAAATTCCAAAGATTTGAGTTTTTCTGATAAGGATGTTGCGTCATTTCTAGTGGACAATGTTTGATCTTCATCAAGTGCAATTTCATCTAGAGTTTCTTTTATAGAACGTGGTGCCAGAACTAATGCTCTTATAGCATCATGTCTTGCAGACCAGCGAGTATCACATATCTTTTTAACAACCAATCCACTTTTGGAAAGCTTTGATTGCATAGTGTTCCAGCGATGCGTGGAGGCTGCTAAAAATTTATACACCTCTTGTACAAGAAGCAGCCCCCCCCCCAAATGAAAATTTCGACAACAGCTTGCCCCCTCTGGCTACTGTTTTTTCAAATGATATTTTGAAAATTTGGCATATTTATAATTCCATGACCTTGATTTTGTCCAAATATATCTGTTTGTTATATATCTGTTTTCTTGTTTCAAAGCCTGCCCCCCTGAGGTATGGTTCTTGCTGGAGTTTGCCCCCCTCCCCCTAGCCGATACCTACAGCTACGTGGTTGGCAAGAAGTTACTTCAGAGTCTGCGCACAGGCTACTAAATAGCTATTTAAATATCGTTTCAAAATGTTATCACTAATGAAGAGACAAGACAGATTATTTTGACTAAAAATGATTATTGCCCTGTGACCACATTAAAGTAACAAGCCAGAAGGGTGACTGCTAGACTTCAGAAGAAAAATTCAGGCTCATTGTAAAACCACTGAATTTACGAGGGTTTTACAGGCTTGTGTTCCCAGATTCGGCAGTAAAAGAAAGTACAAAATTCAATAAGCGTGTTCTGATTTCTTGGCTCGACGGTTCTTATAGTTTCATCTAATTCAACAACGACTAAACGGGTCACTTCGGCAAAACTGGTGTGCTTCAAATTTCTCGAAATAACAACGGCTATCCGAACATCTGAAATCACGTCTATACCTTAGCGACTAAATTCAACGACTGAATTACTCAAAAAAAGCCAACAAATACTTTACTCAACAGCAATTAAGATAATTAGGACAGTTATAGAAAACAGAACAAAGGAGCTGATCACAAGACAGGATGTTACATGGAAATTGGCCAAGGTGCGAACGAAAGTCAAGCACGCAAATGAATAAACCATTCCCGGGTAACGTCCGCCATTAAGTCTGGGTAGCAAACTGACCTTTGGACTCTATCGCCGTCAACCGTAGCAATGGTGATTTCCGATACATGAATGCCGTAATTTCACAATCACGCTATTCTAACGTCATGTCATTCACTTGTCGATACTTAATTACACTGTCTATTATCTTTTACATAATTATCCTTTGAATTTCGCCCATTATTTTCCATTGTCTAGCCTCGTTGGGCATAGGCGTAAACTTAGGGGGGCTCTGGGGCTTCAGCCCCTCCTGACGAAAACTGGGGGGGGGGGGGGGGGGGGGGGGCTGAGCCCCCCCTAGAAAATAAGGAAGCGCTTTACCAACTTTGAGATTAATTTGTTATATTATTGGTTTCACGCATAAGATTTGTTGCATTAGATAATTGCGTTTACAGCAAACAAGCAAAAGTTTCCTTAACGAAATTCTGTCCTTTTACATCATGGAGTAAGTCTAGGCATAGTCAATAATGTCTAGGTGGCTCCTACATACCGATTAAAGCCCAAAAATTTAGCGCATACGTTGTCTCAGAACGAGAATCGGCATGTGTCCGTCTTGAAAACATTTTATAAATATAGAAGGAAACCTTGACTCAGTCCAATTCAATCTGAGGTTACAGCAACTTCCAACGAGGAATCGCCGAAAATTACGGAACCTTCAACAGACTTAGTCACAGCGAAATTGGTCAAATAAATGTAATATTAAAGGGAAAATTAGACATTCTTTAAGGCGTTTCAAGCTTCAAAAACAACAAAGGAACCGACGAGAGTAACCCTTCTATCTAGCTTTCGAACGGCCTTAAAAAACATCACCTCGTGAATGGCAACTGCAAAGTGCCCGTTGTATCAGAGACTGCAAATATTAATTCCGCAAAATCTAAGGAAAGCAGCCAAAATAAACTCCCATAACTCTTAATGGCCCCTAAAATATATTTGAGGCACTGAATCGCAAAATTTTGTCTGCAAAATGTTTTTGCGCAAAGATTTCACTAGTACTTCAGCCTCCATTTGAAACAAATGTTATCTGTTATCACAAGATCCAAGTCGCAACTGTGATGAGGAGGTAACCATCATGACGAAAGTAAAACTTCGGCACAGAATTGATGATCCGGAACTCCGTTGGCTTGTTGTGAAAATTTTTTGAAGTTATAATTGTTTATGAGAAGAATAGAAAAGCGAAAGATACTCCTGCTTCTCTTCTTTGGCGGCTAGGCCTTTTTTCTTGGCCGGTCTTCAATGGCGAACAATTATAATAATATGGATTGCATAGAGTCTCTTGAAGTAAAATTAAGTGAAGCTGACAAAGAGCAAAGAAACAATTCAAGTTCTGGATGGTTTCGTTCAAGATTTGGTTTGCCAATGAGGTCTCAAAGCATCATTTCCAGGAGGGCAGTTGAACACAGGCAGGAAATGGTCCTGTGTCAACGGAAACTGAAGAGACAAAATGGACGACGAAATACAAGTTCTTTTGAAGAAAGGATTCCTGCAGACGAGTCTTGTAACACAAGAAATGGACGGTTCTCCTGGAAGTCATTTAAACACTTTTTTCGAAAAATGAGGCAAAGGCAAGAACGATCTTCATCAACAACAAGTGAATCATCAAATATTACCATTGATGTCGATGGACATAGGTTAGAAGATTCTCCTGTGCTCCCAAGAGCAATCTTAAGTGACTGTATTTTGAACAATACAGCTGCCGGAGATGGCGAGGCCCCAAGTGGATGCTTTCTTATTAAGCCTGCTGTGAAAGAGAATGGCTACTGCATTCCACGCATGATACATAAAGTTGTAAATTGTAGTTGGTATTGGGGAAATATTGATCGATTTGAAGCCGCTGTGGTGAGTTTTTAACCCTTCAAATTTTCTGTTTAATTTTGCTACTCTCCTCATTCTATATGAAGTTCTAAAAATAAAAAACCTGCAAAACTGAAATAACTCAAGATAAAGTACTTCCTTTTATCTTTTCAAAACTGAAACAATATTTATGACCACACATTTCTGTCTTGCAAATTTTTCATAATTTAAAGATTGGGGGGGGGGGTGTCAGGTGCTTTGTCGAATTTTGTCAAATGGTGCCAAAAACAGGATGGTTCTATTTTGTAACTCTGGGTATCATGCTTATGTGATCATCAAGCAACTGCTCATGTTAGGAAGGGTTGTCCAGGACAGAATTGTAACTAAGAACCATCCTGTTCTATCTACTATGTACTACATCACAGCTCTGTCTATACTGTATTGCACACTATAGCAGATTGGTAAAATGATGTTTTTACACGATTAATATTACATTTTAGGCTCTTCAAACAAAAGTAGATGGCTACTTCCTACTACGTAAGAGTGCACATCCAGACTTTTTGTTTACGATTAGCTTCAAAAGATTTCATAAAACCATGCATGTAAGAATCGAGGCTGGTTATGATGGGGTAGAAAGCCAAAATTCATTTGAAGAAACTATATTTCTTCCATGGATAATGCCAGGAAGATTCTCACCTACTTATTCAAGTCTACTGGAACTTATAGATGGCTGCTGTCAACCATATGAAGGGAATATTGTTAGCAACCCCCCATTGCTTCTGTCTCCACTAAACAGAAAAACAGCATTCTCCCTAAAAGACTTGGCAAGAGCAGCAATTTACAAACACTGCCACTATATGGATATTGATTTTCTTCAAATTCCTGAAGAACTCAAACATTTTTTAAGGGAGTATAGATACAAATCAAAGCTCAATCCAGATATATAGCCAGAACTTATGCTTGCTTGAAGTTGCTTTTATTAATGAGCAGTATATGTGGAGCATTAAATTGTTTTGAAGGCAGTGTGTCCCATTGCTCATTGGCTGTTGTTTGCTGAATTTTGAGGGTCCTTAAGAAATTAGAAAAGCATGACAATTTAGTAAAACAGACCAATAGCAAGTAAGATACCTCCTTTTTTATTAGATGAAAACTCACTGAAATGGAAATTTTGTTCTTTGTTTAACTAAACCAATGAACGGTGTGACATACTGCTTTTTAATGGCTTCCAGAGTTGGTGAACAATCTCAATGAGCTTGTAGATTTTATAGACCTTGTAAGGTACCATAACAATAATGCGAACCTACTAGATACAAATTTGTGAAACACCTATAAATAAAGCTTTTGAGAAACCTGTTCTGTCTTAGAAATGCACCTTTGAATTTGCATCTGGGAAATTCTGTGTGACATTTCATCATCTATTTCTGCTGCAAAATGAAACTTGTTTTGGTATGCCTTTGTGTAAGTCCTGGTAATATAAGGTGTGCGATCACACGCACAGGCCACCACACACGCCTAAAACTCCTGAGGTGAGCTTTCTATCTCAGGCGCAGTTCCATGTTTTGTATTACCATTCCTTTTCTTTCTTTTCATTCCATGTTTATTTTCTCAGAGTAATTTTGAATTACTTTTGTGTGGGTTATATTGATGGCATTCCTGGAGGCATTTAAACACTTTTAAGGCATAGTGTCCATTATTTCTATTTTATATGTCTTTGTTCTCTCTTTGTTCTTTTCATATTTTCTCGAACACATTACCCGCGCCACTCTGTTTTTTACCCGAGCCATTCTGTTTTGGTCAAAACGATAACGTGAGTGTTTCCATTACTACATATTTATCTGTAGTGTTCTCATATCCTTTGCTTGACCTCTTTTTGAAACTGAGATTGAATGATGCCGTGTTTGAATGCCTCTATCTTCACTGTTCCCCATAAAATGATGCGTTTCCAAATGATTTTGTTTTTGGATGACCATTTCAAACAGCGTTTTTGAATAACTTCGGTTTTCTATTAAATGTCTGATTAGCATTTTAATGGAACTCAAAATCCAAAACAGATTCACTTAAGTCTGTTCTCATATGGAAATGGAGAAATGGCAACAGAGCCTTAAAAAACTTGTATCCTTTTTGTTAAATGGTTTTGTTTTCAAGAAACCTCTTCTCTAAAATTCCATAAAACTTTTTGGTTTTATGAAAACCTCATTTGCTTTTTCAAAAAGTGATACACACCTTTACAAAGATGACATCAGGTCTTCATTAAAATTGTTAAGGTTTTCATTTTATGGAGTGCACCTCATCGCACACCATTGCATGCCTAAACTTTTCAAGGTCTGCCATTACCAGCATGACAACAAATTTCATATTACCAGGACTGAATGAACTGTAGTTCAATTTCACCAGTCTAAAATTATCCTCTCCCCTTGAAAACAGTGAAACTTGTAAGAGATAAATTTTTTTCTGTTGTTTGCTTCTGTGCAAACCTCTTTCATTGTTGGCTAGACAGTTAATATTTTTTCATCCCTGAAAATTTTCTAACTGCTTTCTGCTTTGAAGAATTTGATCATTGGTGAGCAACTGAAATTTCTGAGATTTCAGGCTGGCTGTTGGATGGATTGTTTTTTTTGTCTCATTCTTTCCCAAACCATGTAACTTCTACCGAAAATATCACTGCTGTGTAAAAGTTACTCAGCTCTGCTGGCTCCGCTTTGCTCTAATCTAGTGGCAATCTGGTAAAGTATAATGCTAGCCTTGCATTAATGTAATTAAAAGTTGAAATTGTCACCCAAGTATGTTATTTGTAATCAACCAAGTTGTAGATAGCTATTGTAAATGTGAAAAGATTAGTTTTTGTTAAATATACCTCGTGCAAATGTTTCAATAAATTGTTAAAACGTTCAGTAATTACATTATGTTGTTTGTCTGTTAAGTATTATTGTTAGGTTGTATAAATCTCAGAGCTGAAGGTTTTTAGCACTAAGAATGCTTTGGGAAAACTCGCTGTATCTTAATTCTGATTTTATTTATTTGCAAGAATGAAACTAGTTCTGTTTGGCTGGTCGCTATTGGGGTTTCTCAGTATTTCTCGTCCCAATGGGTCAGGTTTACTTAAGCAAAAAGGAGCGGAACCAAATTTGACCCCGTTTACACTTAAGTAAAAAGAACGGAACTTTCATGTGAAGCATGCGCAGTAGTGCGGCAATGACGTCTGTCATTTTCAGAAAGCCTCGCCCAACCCTAGACCGTTTACACAAGGATGATTTGGGAACGGAACCAAAGAGTTGCGCATTTCAGCGAAACCAACGAAGAATGGACCCGTTCCAAAACCAGCACAGAAACAAGATGCTTAATGTAAACGCAAGGCCTATCCTCGCTTTTTCAGGCACAGAATTAGGGAGTTCCGTTCTTTTTTCTGTAGTCTAAACGGGGTCACAGTGACAAACGTCATATACACTCATGTACATCTGCTTTATTTGTACAAGATGTTTTTCGAATTAGAATTTGATAACAGATTATTAAAAAAGTTCCTGCAAACGGGGGGTTAGATTCGAAATCGGGAGAACAGGGTACGAACTCTCAAATCGGGAGATTCCCACCTAAATTGGGAGAGTGGGAGCCTTTAAAGTAATATGGGAAGGTTTGGACAATCGTTCGTGGCGTTCAGCTCATGATGATAGGAACAATTAGCCTATAGGAAATTCAGCTGTCATTTCATTCGCGCTGGGTAAATAAGTACTATGGGTATTTGTTATTGAGTAGCAATCTAGGGCCAATGTAGCTGAGGCACCACGTCTTCATCATCCAGAACTTGAAGGAGCCATAATATATAAAATGCTTTCTTTTCTTTGATTCTCTTTGCTTGCGTGCTTGTTTTTTTGCTTTACTTTGCTTGCTTGCTTGCTTGCTTTTCTTCGGTTTTGTTTGCTTGATTGCTCGCTTTTCCTTGCTTTATTCTGCTTGCTTGCTTGCTTTTCTTTGATCTTCTTTGCTTGCTTGCTTGCTTTTCTTCAATTTTCTTAGCTTGCTTCCTTTTCTTTGACCTTCTTTACTTGCTTGCTACCTTTTCTTTGCTTGACTTTGGTTGCTTGCTTGCTTCCTTTTCTTTGCTTGCTTCCTTTTCTTTGACCTTCTTTACTTGCTTGCTTCCTTTTCTTTGCTTGATTTTGCTTGCTTGCTTTTCTTCAATTTTCTTAGCTTGCTTCCTTTTCTTTGACCTTCTTTACTTGCTTGCTTCCTTTTCTTTGCTTGATTTTGCTTGCTTGCTTTTCTTTGCTTGCTTCCTTTTCTTTGACCTTCTTTACTTGCTTGCTTCCTTTTCTTTGCTTGATTTTGCTTGCTTGCTTTTCTTCCATTTTCTTAGCTTGCTTCCTTTTCTTTGACCTTCTTTACTTGCTTGCTTCCTTTTCTTTGCTTGATTTTGCTTGCTTGCTTTTCTTCAATTTTCTTAGCTTGCTTCCTTTTCTTTGATCTTCTTTACTTGCTTGCTTGCTTTTCTTTGCTTGACTTTGCTTGCTTGCTTTTCTTCAATTTTCTTAGCTTGCTTCCTTTTCTTTGCTTGACTTTGCTTGCTTCCTTTTCTTTGATCTTCTTTGCTTGCTTGCTTCTTTTTCTTTGCTTAACTTTGCTTGCTTGCTTTTCTTTGATCTTCTTTGTTTGCTTGCTTGCTCGCTTTTCCTTGCTTTATTCTGCTTGCTTGCTTGCTTTTCTTTGATCTTCTTTACTTGCTTGCTACCTTTTCTTTGCTTAACTTTGCTTGCTTGCTTTTCTTTGATCTTCTTTGTTTGCTTGCTTGCTTTTCTTCAATTTTCTTAGCTTGCTTCCTTTTCTTTGATCTTCTTTGCTTGCTCGCTTTTCTTCAATTTTCTTAGCTTGCTTCCTTTTCTTTGCTTGACTTTGCTTGCTTGCTTTTCTTCGGTTTTGTTTGCTTGCTTGCTCGCTTTTCCTTGCTTTATTCTGCTTTCTTGTTTGCTTTTCTTTGCTATTCTTTGCTTGCTTGCTTTTCTTCGGTTTCTGCTTGCTTGCTTGCTTTTCTTTAATTTTCTTCGCTTGCTTGCTTCGCTTTTTGCTTGCCTGCCTGCATACTTTTCTGGCTATTTTCCTTGTTTTGTCTGCGTCGTTGTTTGTTACATTTGCCTTCAAGTATGGGAGGTTTAAAAAGAATGACCGAATCAATGGAATGGTACGCTAACTAAGAGAAAAGGCCATGACAACTTTTACTCGTCAATTGCTTCAATAAAATTCTTGAGACATCAAGTATGGCAGTTTTCGTTGGTCCGTGTTTTTGAAAGAAAGTTGAAGGCGAAAACGATTTGATTTTTACTTCCAAAATCAAACAAGAAACGATACATCTACTTAAAATCTTTTAGAGAAGATCGGCAGCAAGGATATTGGCCTATACGGGATCGAGCTCTGGATGACAGATCAGCAAACCAGTAATTTTCACTGCAACTAAAAAGACGCACTTAAATGGCTTTCCAAGTTAATAAGGAAATTATACCTACAATTATTAATGAGCAAAAAGGAAATTGGTACTTTGCCGATTTTAAAGGGTGGCAAAAACGAACTATACTTGTATTCAGCGTTAGAATTATTCGTTTAAGGAATTTGATTTCATTATGTCTACAACTATTGAAGAGTTTTTTTGACGCAGGTAAATGGATAAAGCGTCAACTAATCAAATGTGACAGAATTCGGGCAACGATTGCGTTTAAACATATTGAAATAACATTGCATAAATTAGAATAATTAGTTGATTTAGTGAGTCATGGAGATCCATGTTGGAGATGCGTGGCAAAGCTGAAAGTTTTGTTATGCTCCTATGAACCGTGTGTTATTTTTATATTTTACCTGCAATACAGAACAATATGATAAAAGTATAAAAAGCCCAACTTATTATTTTCCGCTTAAATTCTGTCAAAGTATGAGACTCGACAGATGAAATAGATCAGATTGAATAAGTTTGAATAAAATTCGACGTTGATGAGAAATTAAGCTTGGTCACTTTTTAATCCGGTAGATATATATTTATATATCTTTGAAGCGAGTGGATTGACATGTCATGCTGCCAAAGAATAAATAGCTTGTAGAATGAGTAGGGTTGGCCACGGTACAAAAATTAAATTAGTTTTCATGCTTGAAATCTGGTTGCATCAAAGCCATAAAAGCACTGCATATTCGCTCTCTTTAAAATTTTTAAGGACCTTGGCCTGGAACTATTACAACAATATCTATAGACCAAGAAAATAACAAGTTACTAAATCAGAAATTCATGCGAACAAATCAAGAATTGCTAGATTAATAGAAACATATTAAACTCGATAAGATGAAAAATGCCAGTAAGCAACATTTGCAATATCTGGAGATTCTAAACACTTGTATCTCTGATAACAAAAATCTCACTTTTTAAAGTAAAACATAAAGCAAATTCTGAAAATTAGCCTATTTCTACCTCTTGCCATAGTCTTTAAAAACTTTTCACAATGGCCAAATAATATCTTTAACTGATAAATAGCCAATGAACCTTTATTGAATATAAATCAATCTTATAATCAATCGTTTCGCCAAGAAGTAGAAAGCTTCATTATAAGATGATGATGACAACTTATAAATATAAAATGACTATAAAAGTGTTAAACATCTAATTGATAACAATTTATCTTATCCTGCCTATATCCAAAAGAGCTTAAAGTTATTATCTACAATTCATTTCAAACAACCACCCACAATCAAATATTATAGCAATATTCTAAATCCTGGTTGCTTAAACATAAAAACCCTAAAAGGTTGATTTTCTTACAGCCAGAAAACAGCTCACAGTCGATCACGGTTCAATAAACTGAAGCTTTCAGACCTCCACAATAGCTACAAAAAAAAGCGTCTCTAATTTCCTTATAACATAGGGAACAACGTTTTAGATAACAGATTCTAAGTCTTTCCAGTTCAAAATAACTCAAAGCAACATGGTCAAACCAGACAAGGAAGTTCGTGTTTGTATGCCCAGCCCATCCGAATCTATTGAAATAAGAATAGTGGGCGCCGAAAACCGTAGCTTTGAGGGAGTTGACCTACAAATAATGTTGATTATCGCCCGCTATTGCAAGTGTGAAAAGGTCATGTAGTTTAACGTTTCAAGGTCAGAAGAGTTTGTACTAGAAGAATTGGCCTTAGAAGAGGGCCAAGCAAGGAGATAAATAAACTAGAAATAGCTCTTGCTAGTACTGCCCACAAACAATTTGTTCCTTGATAATGATTGTTTTGAAAATTTAGGTCAGGATATTCGAAGAAGACAACATCTTGGGTTTTCACAATTTTATAAAAACAGCTGCTCTAGTTGATGCTTAACTATTCTTTTTATCAAGAATTTTTGGTTTTCAGTTTGCCTTTGATTCAAGTCCAACGTCCTTTTGAAAATCATGAAGTTTTTCGAGGGTTTGACATTTATTTTTCGTTTTCGTGAAGTAAACAAAGACGTATGAAAATGAACACGTGATAGAACGGGTACAGCTAAAATCGATTGCGATAAAGGATTCGTACAGCGATGTACAGGCGATAAGCATGACAATCATAACTTTTGTTCGTACGGTCTCGAGTTTTTGGGAGAAAGGTGTGGCATTCGACTGGTTTTGATTCCCAAAACTTCGAATCAAAACTTCCATCCATTGCGGAGAACTGAGCTGTGATGCAGCACCGTTTTCGTGCCAAAAAAATCGAAGGCCTTTAACAGATTCTTGGCAGAGCAACGCTCCGAAGATAATTCCCTTCCGCACAAAGAGGTGGCGGTTAACGACCTCCTCGACAAAGCCGATTGATTGACAATGAAATTGATTGACAGTTGTCATGGCAGCAGAAAAGTGACAAAATCTGCTGACAAAGTGCTGACAACATGAACTGAAGCTTCCATAAGCTACTTATACGCGGGGCAGACTATAAGCCCTTCACTCGCGCGCTATCGCACGCGAGTTGCGGGCAATAAATCGTTGCTATGGGAGTGTCAATTGACGACTGGCGCCTGAAAAGTTTCCCCAAGAATGTTGCTAATGCGTGTCAGGAATTCGGGCTATTGTTTCTTACAAGAGCTGTGCTCAAGACGTTGGCGTAAGATGAGTGCTTCGCAAAAATGAGTAGAAAGAAAATGAGCCCTGGGGAAATGGTGCTGGAGAAGTCGGAGGAAAAAGGACTGTCTTTAAGAAGAGGAATAAATAGAGTCGAGCTGGAAGAATGGTGTTGGAAGAACTGGCCCTACTTACACGTTCCACAGTTGTAAAGCAGGGGATGAAGCAAGTCATATCACTATACAAAAATGATAAAACTACACAGGAAGCAAATGGGTTTATTTGCTCAGACTTTTGCGAGGAACATCATGGTTGTCTTGGTCTATTTGAAAATTAAAGGATAGCTTTGCAGAAGACAAGAAAAAATAGGAAAAGGGTAGAAAATTTTGGCTAGAAATGCATTGAGAGGATAGAAAAGCAGAGTGATTCTTTATGTAAAATTGTCTTGAGATTGCTTTTTCGCTTCGCGAAGCAAGTGTGAAGCAGATACAGGGCGTGAAGCAAGATACGAAAAGATATGCTTGCTTTTTTCCATGCGTCATGCGTATCTCTTGTTTAAAAACATTGGCACTTATTGCATGCGGCTTCTGCTATTAATAAAGCTCCACGCTTTTGCAGCTGCCTCGTCACCTAAGAGTTGGAACTGAGAAAAGTGTGGACGGTGTTGGAAGCATGGCGTTTGACGAATCAGGGCTGAAAGAGGGTCTTCGATGCAAGCATGTAATGGGGATGACATGTCCTGGAAGCGCGGTACCAAAGCTGTTGGAAATTGCACAAACTTGGGGATGATCAAATTTAAACTTAAAGCAAAGCACTGAAGAAGAGAAGTTAACAGGAGGGGCACTGAAAGAATGATCATTAAAGAAATATGTACAATATGAAATGAAAAAAAATCATTTTGCGGGCACATGGCACATTAAAATATTTTGGCTTACTTCTTCAATAAAAATAATCATATTATTTAAATATGAAGGTAGAATAAAAGGATATCGAACAAATACTCTGCTGCACGTATCTTACAATTCAACAAGCAATACTTACACTCTAATACCACAACGCACTTTTCATACAAATCAAGGAATTTCAACGTGACACAAGAAAAAGCTATGGTTTTGCGGCGAGGCTGTGCTTTAAATTGAAAAATCTACAAAGTGTGGAGACAGGTGACCAGAAAATTTCAAGATAAGTGAAAACAGAAGTATCGATAATGGCCAACGGGTATTCATTTGGGCTGACTTTCGATGTAAATTTTCAGACCCCGCCTTAATTGTGAGGGTATTATGACTGTGTTTTGGGAGCGGAAATTAATTTTTCGCCCACTGATGGATCTGTTGGCATTTGAGACCTGAAATACATTTATATCAAACAGGCTTTTTATGAGCATAGTAAGTATCAGGCCTAGCAATACACTTTTGAAGAAATGATAATTTCCATTTCTATTGCAAGAGGCTTCAGTTTTATTGTGAGAAAATTCAGGTCAAAAGTTCAATTGGATCAGCAGTTGAAGCAAATATTACACATAATAAATATGCAACTGCTGTGTTTTTTACAAATACTTCTTTTTGATACGGACATCGGACAATGTGACAATACTATACCATTGTTCTTATAAACAGTTCCAAGTTTCAAAGCACTGTAAAAATTCAAACATGAATGAATGGGTTGTGACATGCTTTGCTAGGAAACTGCAGTGCTGTACTGTCGCTTGCCAATAGCTTCCTGTGAAGACTGTTTAAGGTTTTCTCCTTGGTTGCTTATTGCTTCAATATTTTGAAAAGATCCAAATTTTCCTGACGTTACAAAAACCTTTGTTGAAAATCAATTATCTTAGAAACATTAAACTACACAAGAAGTCCCTGCTCTCTAATTTCTGCAAGTCTTTAGCCTCCGAAACACCATGTTTATGCATTGATGATTAAACTCAGATTTATCAAAGAGGAAAAACGTGCAAATCCAGTTTTATACTTTAGTACATAACAGACCAGAAAAGGAAAAACTGAACCACTCCAGCTGCGTTCATTGAACAGGTGAAAAAAGAGGATATCACAAGCCTTTTATATCCATATAATTCTTGCAGGTATAGTCACATTTGCAATCGTCATTAATTCTAAGTGTGTAAATTCAATTTCCACATGTTTTGACAGAGTTTAAAATCATGCAAGAATTGAGCTTCAGCATAGTCAAATATTTGTATGGGAGAAAACCTGCTCTGAAATTTTCATTTCCGAGTGCGCTTTTCATCTCCGGATGGTGATCTCCATGGCTTTAAGGGCTGAAGAAAAAACGATCAATTGATAACGAAACTTAGCAAAGCTGAATACGTGATAAAATCAGCAGGGTTGGTGAGCAAGAAATGAAGGCAAGTTGAATCGGGTGAGTGCTGTACTGAAAATCAGAAAGTCATAAATGTGATACAGGTAATAAACAACGATGGAGCGGATACAATCATAAAAATATCGTCCAACCAAGAAAAGGTGAACTTGTTATCGAATTCTCAATATAACTGACTGCCAATAAAAGTAATGTTCGATGGTGCTTCAGTGGTTGCTAACTTTATGAAATTTGTATCACACACTGTATTTCAAGTTTGAATACCAGTAGCAACAAATCAAGAGAAGAAATAAACAGATTGATATTCAAAGCGATCACAAAATATAATCGAAGCTTCTGAACATAAACCACACTAGCTGATTGCTATATGACAGGTAACAGTTTCATAAACATTGAGATCATTAACGCGTCAACCAATATCACAATATTGCACTGCACACACTCTGCAGAACGGATAACTCCATAACGAGTTACCGATAAGCATGTCTTAATTGTACATCTTCATCTTGAAAATGAACACACTTACAAGAAGGAGATTACGTAAATTTGTAATTTCTGGAGTAGTATGCCTTATTTTCTGGACTGTCAGCGTGCTTATCAATGAAAAACCAGGCATCTCACATCCACATTCAAAAGCAATATCACCAGATCGACATGACAACAAAGCTTTGCGAAAGGCAGTCGAAAGTTGCAATTCTGATGTTATGTTTGACAAAGCACCAGCTTCATGCAACGGGCAACCATTTCTATTGATCTTGGTTATTTCATCGCCAAACAACATCTTTAGGCGAGATTTAATTCGGAAGTATCTGATGCCGAAAGCCAGCTCAACCTTTTACAAGCAGGGACCTTTGTGGCGCATTGTCTTTGTGGTGTCCAAGACAAACAATCACTTCCTTGAAAGAAAAGTTGCCGGAGAAATAGCATCGAGAGGTGATATTATTCTTGGAAGGTAAACTACTATCAATGTGAAATTTATCAATACTATCATATCATAATCAATAAAAAAGATTATTATATTTCAGGCCTTTGCCTTTATCATTTTAGCAATACTTTAGGAAAACAGGATATAGTATTTGACTTCTTCCGAGTTACCCTTAACACAACAATTGCGTTCGTATAGAGTACCGAAGTGTTGACGTCATAAAAATCTAATTTAGAATTCCTGAATTTTGATCCCAGAACCTAAATGAGCATCATGAAATACCTCTTAATATGCAAAATCAGTTAAAGGCATCACGAATTGGCTTAGATATGGCCATATAAGAACAGGCTCGTGCCTCATCAAACCTATGTAATTTGGTCTTGGTTCATAACTTTATGAACCAGGTCAGAATAACAGTAGTCCGTTAGCAAACTTGAAACCTTTCATTGGCCACATCTCGCCTAGTTTGGAACATATCTAACTAATTTTGCACATTGAGAGGTATTTTATATCATTCTTTCAGATTATGCGGCCAAATTTTAGAAATTCTAAAAATAGATCTTTGGTGACGTCACACTTCGGTACTTTATTTTTGGTTTTCCCACTGCAGACTTTTTAATACTTTAAATCAAGAATGCAAAGGGTCTTGAGGGACAAATCTTAACGTCAAGCTGATCCTAACCATTGTGGGCTATTGACTCAAGCTGAATTGTTGGCCAATGATTCTGTGCGTCCGTCGTAAACGAAAAGATTGACCTTTCGAATAACAAAACTAGCAACAGAATGCAATTGGACTCAGCAGAAAGCTTTCTTGTGAAAGAAAAATAGGTTCCAGTCAGGGACCGAAACTGCCGGATATTTTCGGGATGATGAGGGGTACGTAATTTCCGACTGGCAATGAGCCAATTGAAATTTTGTAAAACATTTTACTGAGCATGGACAAACAAAGCCTTAAAAGCAATCGACACGAACTAACGTGGCTTAAGCCGACTTCCAATCATAATGGGCCAATCAACAAGGGTGACACAACTCGCATGGTCATTGATTGGCCAATAGTTGAGTGATACAACTCGCACGGTTATTGAATGCTTCTACACGAATAATCGACTAGTTCATGAAGAAGGTTATGTGGATGTAAAGGGAAAAAACATAGAACAACAGCACATGCCAAGATGAAATTGTGAGCTTGAAATATTTGAGGCGTATGACATATCAGAGCTCAACATATCATAGAGAGAGCTCTGTATGTGAAATACACTCCCTCCTAATGAGTCCCATTGGAGTTCTCTCGGCATTTCAGTTATATCTTTCTGCAATTGCACTGGCATATCTTTCGTATCTGTCTGTCACATACCTTGCTGCTTTTCGTTGGATCATCTCAATGGCATTTATATATTTCTTTGTGTAGGGATCCCATATTGCACTAGCATACTCTAGGTATTGGTCTAACGATGACTTTGTAGGCCTTTGACTCTAGGTCTTGAGAATATGGCCTAATATTTCTCTTCAGAAAACCAAGAGTTCTGTTTCCTTTATTTACAGTGTTATTAATATGTATATCCCATTTCATCTCATTGGATATTTCAACTCCTAGATAATTTGCAGAGTCAACATGTTTCAGAACCTTACCCTTAAATTTGAAGCCATGCCTTACTGAGTTCCTGCTTCTCGTTATACTGAGTACTTGACATATTTCAGGGTGGAACTCCATCTGCCATTTTGCTTCCCATTCTGCTGAATTGTCAAGGTCTTTTTGTAACTCTTTAGCATCCTCTTCACAATTGATTGTTAAGTAGGCTATTGTATCATCAGCAAATAGCCTAACTGTGGAAGTGAGGGATTTAGGTAAGTCATTGATGTAAAATAAAGACACAGTACTGAACTTCGTGGGATCCCTGATGACACATCTGCTTCGTATGATCTCTCTCCATCCAATACAACTGTTTGTTTTCTGTTTTTGAGAAAGGCTTTGATCCAGTCCTTAGTTTTACCTATAATTCCATGAAACCTTAACTTTTCAATGAGCCTGGCATCTCCAACTTTGTCGAAAGCCTTAGAGAAGTCCATAATCAAGGTATCAGTTTGCTATCTTCCATGTTTTTGATGACATCTGATATAAACTCAAAGAGCTGGTTTTCACATGATCTTTTGCTGCGAAAACCATGCTGCGGATGATAAAGAATAGCGTTAGAATCTGCATAGTTCATTATATTACTTGCTATTATGTCTTCCATAATCTTGTATGTAACACATGTGAGTGAAATTGGACGATAATTGCTTTCTAATGATTTTTTGCTTATTTTAAACACTGGTTCAACGTTAGCTGATTTCCAATCATCTGACAATGTGCCAGTTTCATAAGATTTTCGAAATATGTATGTGAGTACAGAGGCAAGGCTCATTGCTAGCTTCTTCAAAATTCTTGGGTTAATCATGTCAGAGCCAGCTGCCTTGTGCACTTTTAAACCTTCCAAAATTTTCTGCACACCTTTCTCTGTGGAATGAATTTGAGACATTTGTGATGCTTTGGGATGGTCCAAAAAACCCTGGTGTAATTGGTGTTTTCTTTGTAAAAACTGATTCCAAATGCTTATTCAATAGATCAGCTTTATCTTTAGAGTTGCTAATCAGTTCACTCCCTTTTTCAGTATTCCAACATTTACTTAATCTCTCCTCACTCTCTTTATAAAGCTCAAAAAACGGTCCATCCCGCTATGGGGGTCATCTGCTTGAAGAGGGATGATAATGTCCTCAACATACTTCCAATAAGCTTGTCGAAGCTTTTTCTGTATAATAGATTTTAACTCTTTATATTTTGTATCTAGGTGTTTAAAATGTGGTGTTGAATTATCAAAGTTCCTTATAGCTGTTTTCCTTTTCCTGAACAGTCTGTTTCTTTTCTTGATTAACTTCATTATAATATTTGGTAAGCTATCTTTGCTCTTAGCAAGTTTAGATGGAATGTATTTATCAACTAGAGAGAGCATGGATGTTTTGAATTCATTCCACAACTCAATTATGGTGCTTGAATGATATCTCGTTTCTATAACTTTCCTTAGGTCTCCTATCTTAGACTCCATATCATTCCAGTTAGCTCTGCTGTACAATGAAACTTTCCTAGGCTTTTGTTTTCTCCTGATTGGTCTTAGATCTACGTCAATCCTTGGTATACAGTGATCAGAAATTCCTGGTATGATTTAAGTTTTATCTATCCTTGATACAAAATTTGTAGCAAAGAGTTCCAAGGTATTTCTTCCCCTGGTGCTTTCATCACCCAGTTGCACTAGATTGCTGTCATCTAAAATTTCACCAGATTTTTCATGCTGGGATCTGTATCTACAGCTCTGTTTGATAATTGATTCATCATAATTGAATCATGATAATTGTCAATCAACGATTGACCAATAGTTGATTGACAAACGATTGCCAAATTAGTACCTATCGATTGCCTATAATATACGCTTCTGTCTGTCTTCCGATAATTCGAAGAAATTCAAAGATTTGGGGGTACGCCCCAACACATCCCACACCTCTAGTATTCACGTGCCGGGGTTTTGCTGCCATTCAGTACAAGAAAGTAGATGAACTGGAGATTGATTTTCACACCTCAGAAGCATTGGTACAAAACGATTAAGTAGTTCGCATCCACACCTGACTTTTCCCAAGACCCGTCACAGCAGTTTGGATACGTAATCATATTTCTGCCATATATGTTCAAACGAAGTTTTTGTCACAAGTAAGTTGCTATGTGAATAGACTACTGTATATAGTTCTAGATTCGATTAAATTCTTTCTTATAAGAGCCAGCAAGTTAAAATTGTTCCTAATTTCCCCAAAACATTAAAGGTAGATTGTTCTTAATTATTTTCTAGATTTATCATGGTTAAAGCCGTGTAATCGCTAGCTATATTGCTTACAGGGAATGTTCAGATTCCATTCTTATTTTAATTTATTTTACCACCAGACTTTCGAGGCTCGTCATCTTATAAAATCGTTCTAATAAAAAAGGGTATTCATAACGTAATCAATATAACTGCAATATTCTTTCTGTGTATCAAGAATTGAAAATGAGATACTCTAACTAAACACTTTTCAAACACTGGATTTTAGATACAGAGATACAAGCAAGAACCTGGTGTACAAAACACTAATTGGTTTGGGATGGGCACATTGCCACTGTGTGCCAAGATATCTGTTAAAAGCAAATGACAATGTTTTTGTCAACGTGCGAGGCCTAGTACACTGGCTCTACAAAAGCAACTCAAGTTATTTATCAGACCATCTGTATATGGGTTGGTATCTATTCGCTTTAGTTTTCAGCTTTTAGATATTAGTTTTTAATTTCTTGGGCAACAGGGATGAATTAAAGTTTCATTCTTTACCTGAAACCAATACCCATTTTTACATTATCGAAAGCCCAAGAAAAATCTAGCGAAGAAAGTCAATATTTGAAATGGTTTTGAAAAGAGCTAAAATTTTAGGACATATTACAGATACAATATCAAAGACCTCAATTACTTTTTGAAATATACAATACATAAACCACGGTACACTTATAAATCATACGCCTATAACAGCTTTTGTACCTTTCAATTGCTCGACCTGGCGCGAATGCTGTCTTAGTTGTACGGTAGACTTTGGTTATAGTCACACCAAATGTTGCTTGAAAACTTGTGACTGTAAACGGAGTGTGACGTGACTGTAAGCGGAGTGTGACGTGACTGTAAGCGGAGTGTGACGTGACTGTAAGCGGAGTGTGACGTGACTGTAAGCGGAGTGTGACGTGACTGTAAATGGAGTGTGACGTGACTGTAAGCGGAGTATGACGTGACTGTAAGCGGAGCTTCGAGAGCTTTGTATATTTGAGTCTAAATATTATGTGACTGTAATTGCATTCACCATGCGAGAAAGCCAAGGACAGTTAAACAGCTTGATATTGATAAAGAAAACAGTTGAACCTGGTCCTTGTCCCCGTAAAATACAGAAAAATGTATTCACCACCAGTCAAATATTGTTATTTCTTTGTAGGTATCCTAAAGAAATGGCATCAGTCCAAACCAATAAGAGAAGAAAGCAGCAGATATTTCGTCTCAAGAGACGATTACCCTTATGACATGTACCCACCACATGTAGTTGGTGGGGCCTATTTGCTTTCCAAAGACGTGCTTGAAGCGATGATACCTCTTATTAGACAAATTCACGCATTTGGAGCTGAAGATGCGTACATAGGAATGCTGGCTCAACTTATTGGGATCCAGGCAAAAGAGACAAATTTATTTCACGAACAATCTAGACCAAATTCATGGAGCATATGCAGTTACCCTAAAGTTTTAATCAGCCTTGGTGTAAGTGCAAATGATTTGCCCGAAATAGTGCGAAATTCACTACGATCAGTCATCGAATGCATGAATGACCAAGAGTTATTTGATCGGGCTAACATAATAAAACTGATAGACTTCCAGTAACAACGATCTTTGCCAAAAGTCCTTGGAACACCCTTCGGTCAATGAAAGATTTTGATGAATTAAAAGTTTCCGACAGTAAGATACAGCTTTATCCCCCTCCCCTTGCTCGAGAAGCCTGGTTGCAAAGGGGAAAGAGATGCTTCTGAACTTATATGAAATTCTAGCGTAGTGTACGAAGTCTTTTGGCAAGCATTGTATGTATATTTAGTAGCGACAGTTTCCTTGCAAAGGAACCGACCCTTGTTTTAATGGAACAAAGACAAACGAAACTTCAAGTCTATGAGCTATGTGCAATGGTAAGATTTGAAGCGCAAGACCACGCAGATAAAATCCACTTAGAATAGTAGCAGTGGCGTAACTTATCTTAGGGCACCTTAGTTCGATAACTAAGGGCCCCTGGCCCCCAAATTATTTGCATACCTATATTTTTAAGATTTCTATCAAGCTCACCTTATTTTCAAAAACTTCTTCTAGTTAATGAGCAAAAATACTATTTTAACATCTTGCTATTGCGTTTCATACCCTCTACATCGTTTCATGGGATATTCTTGCAGAACGTTAATAGGAAACCGGTCTCAGTTTTTCCTTAGGGCCCCAGAGGCCTTCGTGACGTTACTGAATAGCAGCAGAATTTAAAACAAATTTGCATCTCCCAGTGGTAACGAGAGACTTGCCGCTCATGCAAGAAGAGATAAATGACACTCGAATCTTGAAAAGGAAGTCACAAAAGCCAAGGAAAACTACTGACATCCATCAAGTTACTTTAAACGATTAAAAGTGCTCCACAACCAACATCCATTGCCCCCTTTAAAGTATTATTTGATGTGATTCATATTAGCTTAAAGTTCAAAGCTCGAAAAAGCAGCAGCAATATGCTTTCCAATTTAAAGTTTACTCGGGAATGCTATCAAACAATTGTTTTGAAGGGCAGGCAGATGTAAACGGTACGAGTGAGCTTAACTCTGTTATTACAGTCAAAGGGTATAAGAAATGACCTACTGCATATGCTCTTTGACTGTAAGGAAAGAGATTTTCATTCATCATAGTATTTTCACGGGTTTTCCTCCCCAACATATATGGATAAACAGTTTGGCCCTGAAGTCTATTAACATTGTAGGAACAAACATATTATTGCCTTATGTCTAAGAGAAACGACAGAACCAAAGCAAAGATAGAAATCAAGTCTGAAAGCTACAAATTAAGAATGTTGTAAAAGATCTAATTAACAACGTAAAACTGAAATCGAATGTTTCTACATTTCACTTTAAAATACTTTTATTTCAAATATAGTTGTGATAGTTATGTTATGATTCAATGAAAATTAATTTTTACCAGTCTGTCATAATCAAACAGTTGATGTTATGATTCAGATATACTACATTAAGGCATATCGTGAGTCTTTTAATTTATATCATCTTCATGAAACTTGGTTTAATAACATAACAGCAGCGGCGTCCAGACGTCCTCTAGACGTAAGCGTGCAAGATATTGTAAATTGTAGATTTAAGTATACTAGACCATTATAGGAATATAAGGGAAGGTCTTGAACATTTTATGGGTGAATCTTTTTATTGTTACTATTTTATCTTAATACATATTTAAGAATTAAAGGCCAAAAAAACATAACATATAAAATAATGCATCATTTCATGGGCACACCTTTTCATGGTTACTATTTGATTTAAAAATATATATATTTAAGAATTAATGGCCAAACAACTTAATATGTGAATAGAATAAGTTTACAACATTAACAAAAAACAAAGATGATGTGGGGAATCTTCGAAATAATTGTAGATTCTGAGACAATGGCGACAATGGCAGTAGATAATGGCAATCTGAGACAGCTACCATATTTGAACTATTAAACAGCTTTTTTTAAATAAACGCCCCTTTCCAAGATCGACTTCCGTAAACCAAAATTGCAACAAATGGAAAACTAGTGTCTTTAAGTCGTCATAAGATAATTTCGATGTTCGATGTTGCGCATTGTCATTGTCGACAAATGATACAGATGATAAAGAAATGTCATGCAGTTTATGAAAGATTGAAAACAGACACATCTTGTAATGACAACGAGAAAGAGGATCAATTTAAAAAATCAGCCTACATCGTGGAGGAAAATTTATCAACTGAAATGGATCCAGCCAAAGAGGAGGGTGATTTTTTAACAATTAAATAGATTTAGTATATTTCAGATTCAGCATGGATTTGAAAAATGATTTTATGTTTGCAAAAAATTCTTCAATCAACGCCCCTTTTGAATGAGCGCCTAACTCTTACAGGCACCCTCCTGAAAGCCAAAATCTTATAAACGCCTCATGGAGACCTTAAATAGATCAAATATAGTATGACAAGGAGTGGGTTCCCTAATGTATTGAGAGGGGCATGTGGTACAGAACGTTTGAAACAAAAAACTAAGTAAGACATTCCTCTCTTCTGATTATTTTAATCTAGTTTATTATAACTAGATACATTTTGTGCTTTATATTAACCTATAGAAAAACTAAAATTTCATTGTAAACTATTGTACCATTAAAAACATCAAACGCGATTGATATTTTTAACCTACATAGAATGTGACATAATCACATTCGAGAAAATTCCTTTTCTGTTTAAATACCTTTTGGGATTGATATTACTCTACAGAACTCACGGTTATCAATACAACATTCAACCATTTTCCAAAATTCTCAGTACATCTGATTGATTTTCATACCTACTTGTACTGTGTGACACTCCTCGACTGCAGCATCTCTGTCATTTCAGCCCTGTCAAAATCTCCTTTGTTTCAATTGCATGTTTCAAACGCAGGCTTCCACAATAAAAGAGTGACTTAGAAATCTAGTACTGGATACAAATGCTGACAGGAACCAGCATTGAGTCAGAAGAAGATGCTAACAAACAGAGCCTTGTCCTTGGTAAAAACATGAAAAACTATCCCATACCTTCAACTCAAATTTCGATAGTAGGATCTGATCCCATTCCAAGCGCTTTAAGTCTTCTTTCTTGTTTCATTTTTGGCTCTACTGTTTGGGTGTGCCAGACTAGAACCTTAATACAAAAACAAACAAAGATTTAGGACTAAAGACATCTTGATTTTGAACCGGGTGCACATAAAACATTTAGAAAAAGAATCAAGCTCTATGAACTTTTAATGCACTTTTTGACAATGGGCCTAGTCATCTTGTCTAATAGAGCTAATCTGAATACTTAAATAACTTTTGAGAATTTGAAAACTTTTGAATGTTTCTGTCGCTATTAAAATCCTATGTCAATTGTGTATCGTTTGGTACTCCATCTTTGCAAAATTATTCTTAGCCATGTCACAACATCAATTTGAAAATCGAAGATTGCAGCTAAACGAACATTGGTGACAGGATTAAGGAAAGTAAACAAAGTTGACTTTCAACCAACCCCTTTCGAAAATTTCATTTAGAGCTGTTATAACTTCTTTTAAACTTTTAGGCAAAACTTTGTTGCTTTTGAATGCAATTTAGACAAAAAATTTTAAAAAAAAGACGTTAAAAATCTAATGTCTAACACAAAAACAAAATTATTGAGCATTTACATTCTGCTGCATAAAATGTGAACAAACAAGTTCAGCAAACATATAAAAGAAACTATGAAAGAGAAGCATGAATCCAAAGGAAAAGCATTGTTTACTCTGATTTAACATGTTGTTTATCTAGCCTGCTAATATATTCATCTGATGCTTGTACTGGCAATCGCATCTCCTGTGACTGCCATAGATGGAAAGGACATCTTGTTGGCGAGTTCCATCTACGACAGCCACTTACAATAATTATACAATTTAAATTCAACGAAGGAAAGCTAAACAAGCAAAACAAAAAGCAAAAAAGGACAAATTTCAACCAGGTGTCTCAAAAGGAACTCCCACACCTTAAAGCACCTGTAAAGAAGGTGCTTGATCGAAAAAAATGAAGTAACTGCGTGAGGTTTCATAAAACCAAATAATCTGTACATGAGGGGCGCGACGTTTGAATCAATTTGGTACGGTAGATTTAGTTAGGAGCGGCAGACTAGTTTGGATCGGCAGAGCTTGCGGAGCTGCACGGCTCCAGCATGGCACGGTTTCAAGCGTCGAACTTGTTATGTACCGAACTTGTCATGTACCGATAATTTTATTTCCTTCTCAAAATTCATTTCTTTCTTGGAGGGCGCATGCGTTTTAAACAAATATTTGAGATTGCGCGCCTTAACCAAGATACTTCATGTAACAATCCTTTTAGCCATTTGGCGCGACAAGATTAAGTTCGACGTTTGAAACGGGAGTCGCGCTAAACATACTCAAGTGTCGCTCCAAACAGAGTTAGGTTCGGCACATGAGAAGTGCGACGTTTGAACCAGGCCTAACTCTAGATTCTAGATTTCTTTCCGACAAAAAACAGTGCCTCTGTGAAATATTTTTCAACCCCCTCCCTTTCTCAATACCCTTTGTTTGTTTTGGATGCCACAGCAAAGTTTTCCCTTTTGTTTTGCGCGCAATTTGTTGTTTTGCTTCCGTAGAGACCAGCATGTGCATCAAAATGTGGTGTTCCGTCTGAGCATAGGTCTCCCGTGCCATTTAAGACTGCAATTTAAAGCAAAGGTAGTCAACACTCCTGGAAAATTAACGATATCTCCTGGTTTTATCTCAAACGCTTGATAATCTGCTAGAATGCTGCGATGGTCGAGAGTATAAGACATCTGCAGTGGCCATTTCGAATTTAAAGTTTTGCAGTTCCACAATAGAACAGAAACTATAGGTAGTCAATCAACTACGGGCCATTGTACAGCTCTCTTACAAATATGGTATCATTTCCCAGTTCCAGATGTTGTTTTGACTGAGTTCCATCCGTGTTTCAAATAAAAAGTTTATTGTTTCAATTCATTCACTTCCGAGGCAAAAAACATTTATTTCCGAGTTCTAGGATTGACTGCTGTTGTCCTCCACAGCGTCTGGAAAATCGTTTCCAAATCACAACAGAGAAGAAACTGGCAATTTTAAGATTTTGACTGTGATAGAATTTTTAGGTTTCAACTTTTTAATTTGAATTTTACTTGTTTCAGGCAACACTCTTTTTAGCTGTTTGTTGGAAAACTGACTGAGTTCTGTGCACCAAGGAACTCACTCTGGATCCGCCTCTGTAAAATACCGACACAATTCCGACAAAGAAATCGTGATCTGGGCCTATAACCTATTAGAATTCCACGGAGAGTATCTTGAAAGATAAACTACGGTCAAACGAACATAACAAAACAACTTATACGATCAGGATATAATACTAGGCGACATTACGTATTCAGCGTAAGAGTAGTAAAAACGTGTTCATAGCATGACTAAGCAAGGCTTAACTTAAAGTGTCAATCAATGATACTATGAGACAAAACATGGTAATTAGGGGTGTACCGGGCCAGATCAGGATTTTCAGAATCCGGATTTAACCGGATAACCTGGCCATTTATTGATTTTTCAGTAACAACAAGTTTTTAGCCACTTTGTGAAAAATGTATAGCGGGAAGATCAAAGAGACCCATTCAGGGTTGCCAGATTGAATTTACAAACGAAGGCTAGACTGGTGAGCAATTTAAGCCAAAATGCTCATAAAAAGCCAAATTAAAAATTTTCTCAAGAATCCATCGAGCAGGCACAGGTTATATTTCTATGCTTGTGCCTGTTAGATAATTTCTTAACTTAGATAAGAATCTTACTTTTTTCCAAAACTCTTTGCTAATATCAAGATAATAATTAGGGTTAGGTGATAAAATTTGAAATTTGGTTAACACTTTGTACTAACTACTAATTATTCCATGAATGTAGTAATTAACCATTAATTTCAGACGTTCTGCTGAAAAGGCCAACAAGGTCAAATTTATGTAGTAAGCAAAAGACAATTTTTCCAAGCAATCTAAATCTAAAAGCCAAAAATGAAAAATTTGACCTAAAAAGCCAATCTGGCAACCCTGGACCAAATTTGTGAATTATATCATCCTGTTTCGTGATGACGAGCACTTTCATTTCAAATCTGTTTTCAAGGCGCTTGTTTTATGGTCGATCTTGTTTAGTTCATGCCTGTGCGATTGCACGCCTGAAATTACCAGGACTGCATGCATGCATTCAAACAAAATAGGGAATCAACATTTGTATGCATATTCATTAGAAAATGAATCCAAAATCAGCCTGGCATCTCATTTAACACAATACTTTGAACAGCCCTTGATTAAATCTACTTTGCGAGGTTTAACTGGGTTTGCTCAATGTAACTAGCATAAATTTCTAAGATCAGCCTCTTAGATGTGAAACAGATAAAGCAATTAGTATTGAATGCACATTAGTTGCATCATTGAAAAATTGGATCTTCTTAATAATATATTTCAGTTTGTCTTAGGTACTGACCTTTCTGCAATTATTGGCTCTTGGCTCCATAACATCCTTTGTGATGCCAAGTGAGTGCAGAAAATCTGTTTCCAAGAAACCTCTTCTTGATTCTGGATTTATGAAGACATTTGCATGCCTCAGAATGACCTTGATGTTTATAGCAAATGCAGCCATGTCAAGGGGAAACTCTCTGTCAGGTTGCCATGCAGTGAAAAAACTGACTACTTTTCCATAGATACAAATAGGACCTTCCCATCTGAGGCCACCTACCAATGCCACTGGCCAAACAGACACCATTTTTGTAAATCGCATCTAGACAGTAAATATAGCAGTTTGATTATCTGCAAAACACATCCTAATAATGCTCATGATTAAGCAGCAATGTGATGCACTAATGATATATCTTACGAGAAGAGAAAAACTGTGAGACTAGAGTTACCATCCAGTGTAAATTAGTGTCTTTTGTTTGGAAGCTAATTGTAGAAACCCTTGGTTACAGCAGTTGTTGTTATGAAAGTTCCAACAACTAGGAGATGTTACTTAATGGAGTCTTCTAAAGTCTCTTAACTTTAGTTTGGGTTTTAAGGTTTTAGATATTTAAACTTTAAGAAGACACTAAATGGTTGTAAGAATAAAATAATTCCATCTCTCTTTCAATGGCTTTGATTCACTGAACAGATGCTTACAAAGTCAACTATCAAGGCAATGAATTATATTCTTACTGTCAATCATCTAATTGCCCCCGCCTCTTCAAAAAGCCCCCCCCCCTTTGAATAAGCCCCCACCCAAAAATATGAAAAAAATAAGCCCCCAGTGGGCTAATTCGAGGAATTGTGGTATGCATGTAGCCAACAAGGTGTGCTGTATTTAGTCTGATGTGTGTACATGATGCAAAAACTACGTCAGATTCCAATGACAAAAAATGTGAATTCATTTGTCTATCAATAGTCTTAAGTTGCAAAAAAAAACAGATTTCTTCACAATTTTGTGAAAGCTAACCTCTTTGAATAACTCTATATCATATGTGTTATCATCATCAGCAAAATAAACAATGTCATCAGAATTTTTGATGTTCTTTCTAATCCATTTCAGTGCAAAATTCCTTTGATCCACTCCTCTGTGTTTAATCCACCTAGGGTCATCTTGTTTTCTTTTCATATCTGACTGTGTTTTAATTGCTAGATGTGTAAAGTTGATTTTCTTTGCAGTTAATAATGCATTAATACTTTGAGATGGTTGATCAGCATCTTCTACAAGTATCCAATGAAACCTTGGAATGTGCATAAAGGTCTGTGAAAGTCTTACTAGGTCTGCTTTCTGAGTAAACCTTTTATATGTTGGTGTGACTGCATAAATGATTGGCCACTTTGATATCTCCTTCTCTTGATCAAGCAAGTGCTCAACATTTCCAGCAATGTCATTTAGTCTTTCTCTCAGCTTTGACTCTTGGTGTATTACAAGGTTCAGATTACGTTTTGCTTGTTCCAGTAATGCTGTGAATTATGAAACAATTCTCACATAAGAATTGCAAAGAAGCTTTATATTGCAAATAGATAAACAAGCAAGTTTCCTGAAATGTAACAGCAACTTTTGGTATTGATCACTAGGAAATCATAAAATTATTTAATTATTTTGTTTATTTAATTGAAATTACAAAATTTACATGATTATCAAAACAAATTTTAGACCTACAATACATGCCAAAAGTACTTGGAGCACCCAGCTATCAACGCTGCATTTGATATCTTTCATTCCTTTCATGAAGAAAAATTACTACTTCCGCCCCCTTCCCCTTAAAACAATGTTGATAATTTAGAGAAATATCATAAAGGAAGCGCAAAAGCAAGTGCTTCCTAAAATCCTAACCCATTTGATAGTGAACCAACATTGTTTTGTAGTGGAGAAGGGAATGATTGATTTTGACCTTGGAAATTGATGTCAGTGTTCCAAAGACTTTTGGCAGGAATTAAGAGTATTAATGCAGTTGACAATATAATTTATTCTTGCAATGATGAATGTGTATTTAAATTACTGCTTTCTAACAAAAAAACGAAAAGTTACTTAAGTAGACTGTTTGCAGCATAAAATCATATTTTTAATTTTTTTTAATTTTCTTAATTATTTGCATTCTTAAACATTTTGTATTAAAGGACTGGAATTGTTTTAAAAAGTCTTTGAAAACAACTTTGATTTCTTGATAAAACTCGTCTAATAGTGTTAATTATTTATTGATCTAGACTTTATGTTGTACTATTAATAAATTGCATTAATTTTATACATTTGAATTGAAAATAACTACTCAACTAACTGGCTCAACGGAACTACCTTTTATCTACACAAACCGGCAGCAACGAATCATGGGATGTTTTGCTTAATCATAGTTAGTGCAATACACTCACCATTACAATTATTACAACGACTTGCCAACAAAACCAAGCAGAACAGTCCAGCTCCTATTATGGCAAGTAACATAAGACTTCTTGGACCAACATAGCGTCTGGTTGAACCAAGAGCAACCATAATAATAAAAGCTTCTGGTTGGCATTGAAAATGGTGTTGCTTTCCAAAGAAAAATACCCTACCTGTTGCTCACAGCATGGATTTTCTTAAAACTCAACTAACCTGCGTTTATAGATAAGATTGATAAAAATCATTGACCAATACCAACAGGTTGCAACAAAAACCAACTAGAAAGGTTAGAGATGTTGTTGTTGTTCAAACAGCCAAAATGGTTGCTGCTGTTCTACTACCCTCGGCGGTACAATAAATAAAGAGTTGTTACGGTACGAAGATCGAACTTCTATCACGTGCTGGTCCACGTGGTTATCAGCGTGAACATCCTTTTATTAACTTTTATGCTTTTTAACTATTGTTCTATTCTAGTATCTAATTGGCTGTTATCATGTTCTGTTTTGTTATTGGCTAGCTGTATTTTAGAAAGGGTATAAAGGAGCTTGCCTGTTTTAGAGTAGGAGGCTTTTTACTGTGGGCGTTCCCGCCTTGCCAAAAGAATCGTGGCCGCCGTTTCCCGATGAAAGTCGAAGCGTGTGTCGCTTGAAAGACGTCGCTGTTGCCATTCGAAGTATATCATTCAGAGACGCCACAAGTCGCCAATACTAAAGCAAGCAAGCTAAAGGTCGTGAGTGCTTTGTTTTCATTGTTATTCTTAGCTTTTCTATATTCTTTATATTAAACATTTGAGACTGATTGCCTATGAAGTTATTCGTTGACTCACAAACTGTTAGACTTAGAGGCGTAGTCTAATATTGGTGCCCCGTGTGAGGATTACTACTTTCCAGGAAAAGTTTTCGGAAAATTTTTGAGAGAACAGTATATTTTGTTGCAACAGTTTTGAACTTTAATGAAGATTACGGATACAAACTCTTGGGAAACGGAATTAAAGGAATTTGACGAACTTGCTGTTTTTCTTATTGTGGCAACATACTAACTTTGTTTTATGGAACTAAAGAAACTGAGAAATAGTAAAAGTCGATACACTTTTTGAAATAAACTTGTATCGTGATATCTCAGTCTATTTTGCTTGCGTGTTTTGTGCTTTCGTGACACATTGGTGTGATATTGCGTATGTTTAACTTATTGAATTGAACTGCGTCATTGAACAATTATCACTTATGCTATACGCCAAGATCGTTGCCAGCTCATTTGTTTGCCTTTAACAATCGCATTGTTAACGGTTGTATCGACTTTCCTGTTGTTTATAATCGAATTAGCGTAAACAAAATGGAGGAACAAAACGCCGCTTTCGCTGCAACAATTAATGACTTGCAAAATCAAATGACTGCTGTTCAAGCAGCGCTTGAAGGAAATAATCAAGTAACTGTATTTAAGCCTCGTTCTTTTAATGGCTTACCCAATGAGGATTTGAATGAATGGTTAATGAAATTTGAACGTTTCGCAAAGTTTTATAATTGGTCCAATGCCAAAAAGCTCGGCGCGATTTCGCTACTTTTGGATGGCCCTGCGTTAGCCTGGCTACATACACAAAATCCCGACACAGTCAATAATTACAACAACTTGGTTGAGGCACTCAAGTCTCGTTTCGGCGCTCAAAACCTTGATTTTCTATTTCGCCAAGAGCTTTATTCTCGAAAACAAGGACCTTTAGAGCCTTTATCACTGTATACGGCCGACATAATCAAAATGTGCCAACGTTTAAGTATTTCTGACAAAGACATGATGAACATTTTCATTAATGGCCTTTCTAGTGAAATAAAAAACTATGTCATTCTTAATCAGCCAGATTCGTTTGAAAAAGCCGAGAGCCTCGCCCGTTTGCGCGATGCAGTTATAAAGAACACACCTGATATGCGAAATTCCAGTCCTTTCCAAGACCAACGTATTAAGGAACTCGAAGGACAAGTGAATTTATTGATGTCTTCCATGTCGGCCAAACGTTTACCAACGCAAGCATTACCAGTACAGGCTGTTGGATTCGAAAACTTTTCCCAGCCTGCCCCCGTACCTGCAGCTACTGCTGCTGCTAATTATGTTTCACGTAATGAGCTATCTGAATTAAGACAAGACATGTTGGCAGTTATGGATGCTAGGTTGAAACAAAATTTTCAAGGAAAAGGGGGTCCTAATTATTTTCCAGCACATCAAGGTCAAAAGGGTGTTCGTGGCCGCAACCTGCGCGCAACGGACGGCCAACCAATTTGTAATAAGTGTCAGAGAGTAGGTCACGTGGCTCGTTATTGTCCAGAGTCAAATCAATCATTTAACAAGTCTCAGAATCAAAGTTTCAGAAACGTTCAACAACATTTAAACGGAATGGGACCTTCTCGGTGGGGTCAATGAAGGTCCATAACCGCCCTATTAATGTATTTCGCCCCAAAGAGAAAAACTCTAAACCTGATAAAGAACTGCAGACGTGGTTTGATAATCGAAAACTTTCGAAATCCTGTCAAAGTACTAGTAATCGTTTTGTACCTGACGTAACACAAACTTTTGGCCGTGAATGTCAACCCATTCAAACTGATCTTGCGAAAAATTTGGCAGTAAAATCGATTTATCAAGAATCTAACAATGAAAAGGAAATACTAAACAATGATTTGCCGTTGATTTCATCTGAATTCTCTTATTCGTCGTCGACTCAAAGTAATGTCCTTATCTGGGGGATTGTCGAGAAACAAAGCTTTAAATTGTTGGTTGATACTGGTGCAGCTGTAACTGTAATTAGTGACAAATTTTATAACGACGTTTTGCGTGTAGCCTATCGCGTGCGCCGACAAGAAAGTCTTAACAGCGTGAAGACTGCGGACGGAAAAGAGGTTCCTGTTATTGGAGCTGTCTCGTTTCCAATACTCGTAGGATCGGTTTCCTATCAATGTCATGCTTTTGTGGTAGCTGGTTTAGCTTATAATATTGTACTTGGTCGTGATTTCTTGCATGAGTACGGTGCAGTTATTGATGTCCGTCAGCAATTTGTCGATTTTTCTGGTAAAAACAAAATCAATTTTGCTTCAGGGGAGTACCCCCCACTGATCTCTGATGTAAGAGTTTCAAAAACTTTTGTTATTGATGCCCAGAGTGAATTGGTAATTCCAGCTCGTTTAGAAAAATTTGCTACGTCACATGTTGTTGGCTTAATTGAAGCAGTGCCTAAACTTTCTGATCGTTATCTTCTGTATGGGGCCTGTTCGTTGTCTTCTCCTAATGAAAATGGTGAAGTGACTTTTCGCTTACTAAATCCTTCAGACACACCTGTCATTCTGTACAAAGGTTCAACTGTAGGTAGATTTCATCAAATAACATCCCCTGATGACATAATTTCGCTAGAATCTAAAGAGGTATTATCCATGGAAGCTCCTTCGCAGAGTCAGTATAATTCTTCTCCTCGTGAATTCAGTCTTCAGTTTAAGTCACTGCCTAGTCCTTCACTGTCTACTGCAGAAAACACTCAGCTGAATGAACTTTTAAATGAATATGCTGACATCTTTGCATCATCATCTCTTGATCTTGGTCACACAAATATCATTGAACATGAAATCGATACTGGTGATGCTAGGCCTATCAAGCAGCAGCCTTATAGAGTTTCTCAAGCACAAAGAGCAGCAATCGACCGTCATATTTCGAATATGCTTGAGCAGAAAATAATCAGTGTTTCTTGTAGTCCTTGGAGCTCTCCTGTTGTTTTAGTGAAAAAGAAGGACGGTACAACTCGATTTTGTATCGATTATCGAAAACTTAACGCTGTCACTCGTAAAGATAGTTATCCTTTGCCTAGAATTGATGATGCCCTTGATGCTCTTTCTGGTTCCCGATACTTTTCAACTCTTGATTTGCAATCTGGATATCATCAAGTTGCAATGCACGATGATTCTAAAGAGAAAACTGCCTTTATTGCGCATTCCGGATTGTACGAATTTAATGTGTTAAGTTTTGGCCTAACGAACGCCCCGCCGAACTTTCAACGTCTAATGAGCAATGTGTTACATGGCCTCGATTGGAAAATTTGCTTAATATACATAGACGATATTATCATCTTTTCGGAATCTTATGAAGAACATCTCGCACGCTTGCGTCTCGTATTTAATCGTTTGCGTGACGCGAACTTGAAACTAAAACCCTCGAAGTGTCGTTTCGCCAGTCAGTCTGTTGACTTTCTCGGTTTTGTGGTTTCATCAAAAGGAATTTTACCAGATTCCAGCAAGATTGAAGTTGTTAAATCGTTTCCAGTTCCAAAATCAGTAAAGGAGGTTCGTAGTTTCCTCGGCCTTTGTAATTACTACAGACGTTTTGTTGAAGGTTTTTCGAAAATTGCTTCACCTTTGAATCGTTTAACTCGCAAGGATGTTGTGTTTGCTTGGACACCTGAGTGCCAGTCTGCTTTTCAAACATTAAAGAACCGTTTGTGTTCTCCTCCGATTCTGGCCTATCCAGACTTTAATTTGCCTTTTCATCTGTTCACGGATGCAAGCCATTCAGCGTTAGGCTATATTTTAGGACAGATAGTCGATGGTAAAGAGCACGTGATAGCGTATGGTGGTCGAGAATTGAGCTCTGCTGAAACTCGCTATAGCACTACTGAGCGTGAAGCCTTAGCTGTTGTGGATGGCATAAAAAAGTATGAGCCTTATTTGTCTGGAAAAAAGTTCTTTGTTCATACCGATCATGGCAGTTTATCTTGGTTAATGCGTGTCAAAGACCCTACTGGCCGCCTTGCACGTTGGGCCTTACGCTTGCAACAGTATGATTTTGAAATTATTCATCGCCCTGGTGTTGCTAACGGTAATGCAGACGCCCTTTCTCGTCGCGTCTATTCTGCATCTCCTTCTGCTCCCGAGGTCTCCTCTCTCGATTTACCAGTAGCAGTTGTCGACCATCCTTGCCCACCACCATCTACCTTGCATAAATTACAACGACAAGACAAAGATCTTGCTGACATAATTCAGTATTTAGAAACGTCAGAATTGCCAAGTAGTGACACTAAAGCTCGCGCGTTGTTGCTGTCTATCGATTCTTTTTATTTGGATGAACATGGAATCCTTTGTCATCTATGGACACCTGGAAAGCGTCGTGCTAAGTCTCTATGTACTCAGGTCGTCATTCCTGCGTCTCTTCGTCATGAAATTCTTGTTTCACTTCATGATGACCCAACTGCCGGACACCTTGGCTTTTCATGATTCTCTTCGCGTATCGTGTTTCGCCTCATGCTTCTACTGGTGAGTCGCCCTTCTACTTACTGTACGGTCGTGAGCCTCGTTTACCTGTAGATGCTGCCTTGTTATCGCCCTCCGCTCATCTTTCGTCGTCTGTCGCTGAGCATCGTGCACGTATCCTTACAAATTTGGAGAATGCGCAGCGTATCGTTTCTTCTAAGACGCAGTTGGCCCAACAAAAAATGAAAGAATACTACGATCGTAGCAGTAAACCAGTTCTTTACGATATCGGAGACAAAGTATGGGTGTTTACCCCGAAAAACAAGAAAGGCTTATCGAAAAAATTATTGCACAACTATCACGGTCCGTACCGTATTGTCGCCAAGCTTTCTCCGGTCCACTTTCGTTTGCGAACTCTCGATAACCGTCCGGTATCGGTTCCAGTCCACGCCAATAGATTAAAGCCGTATTACGATCCGAACGATCGTCCAATCGAGCCACCCGCGGATTTTGACAATTCTAACGACCTCCCTGACAATGATTTGCCTTCCGATAGCTTCGATAATGGCCTGATATCAGAAGAACCGGTTATAACGCGCCCGGAAGAGACACATACTCCGTTGGAGATTAAGAACTACGTTGCTCTCCCAAACCAGGAGGTTTGAACTTAAGGGGGGAGGCATGTTACGGTACGAAGATCGAACTTCTATCACGTGCTGGTCCACGTGGTTATCAGCGTGAACATCCTTTTATTAACTTTTATGCTTTTTAACTATTGTTCTATTCTAGTATCTAATTGGCTGTTATCATGTTCTGTTTTGTTATTGGCTAGCTGTATTTTAGAAAGGGTATAAAGGAGCTTGCCTGTTTTAGAGTAGGAGGCTTTTTACTGTGGGCGTTCCCGCCTTGCCAAAAGAATCGTGGCCGCCGTTTCCCGATGAAAGTCGAAGCGTGTGTCGCTTGAAAGACGTCGCTGTTGCCATTCGAAGTATTTAATTCAGAGACGCCACAAGTCGCCAATACTAAAGCAAGCAAGCTAAAGGTCGTGAGTGCTTTGTTTTCATTGTTATTCTTAGCTTTTCTATATTCTTTATATTAAACATTTGAGACTGATTGCCTATGAAGTTATTCGTTGACTCACAAACTGTTAGACTTAGAGGCGTAGTCTAATAGAGTTGTTGGGTGATCAGATTTTTCATAATTCAATCAAAATCAGACATTGACTTGTCTTTAGTCAATAGATTCGGTTATATTGGCTATGACTTGTCAATATGAAAAAAGTAACGTTCTGTGCAAGAGAAACATTTATTTCATATCAAGTTGTTGTTAGACAAGGGTGCTTACTAAGTGCTATGAATTTTTCTTTTTAACAGCTTGAATGTTGACAGTACTCAAAATCTTTTTCAGCAAGCAAACAAATTAATTATAATATATTGATTTAAAATACAATTAGTAGAAACTTAAAATTAGAACAAAAAGTAAGATCAGAAAATCAATTGGTAATTGTTTACAATGCTGAAGGACACAAAAAAAAACTCACGATGAACTATCGAATCGAATCATGTGCCCTGTTTGACGTACTTAATAACTTGCATAGATTTTAGTTTGAAGTGAACAGAACAGAACAGTAAGATAATTGATAAAAGAAGAATAATAAAAAGGTCATAAGAAACTAGTAAAAGGTTAGAGAAGGTTAAGAAGTGTATTTAAGGATTTAGGTGGTTTTAGCAGCCGTGGCGGCCTGGCCTTTTACGCCTGGAGGGACCAGCAGCAAAATGGCGCCCTTTATAACTAAGATTATTGTCCATTCCTGAAAAGATTGGCAGTCTGGTAATGCTCTTATATTTTTAACCTTGTATGTCAAGGATAGACTGACCCCCACGCGAGAACAGGGTCCTAAATATAACAATTTTTCATGGGGGTGTCAGGACAAGTTGGACCGACTCACGTACGAAATGGACTATCTCTTTGTTCTCTTTGTAACTGTTGTGTTCATTTGGCATCTTGGAGGGGAATCCAAAGCGCCAGATAAAAGATTTACCTTAGTTTTGCTAAACTCGTACTTTGGGACAACTAAACAAGCCCAAAACATACATATAACACAACTAACAGTCAGGGGGCAATGTAGGGGGGGGGTGTCGGGTTAACAAATAATGGAAAAATTCGGTCCTAGCCCATAAGTGGAGGATTCCAGTTTCTCATAAGGCTAGAAAATGCGATTTCTAACATATCTGTGAATTCACTATGACACAAATGAAAGGCGCTAGAAATGATTATAAGACTTTGTCATTTGACACAAAAAGAAGTAAATATTTTATCAAACTTAAAATAAATATCATAAAAGACCAAAATACACAACCGCTAAGAAAATTACGCCCGACTCAACTTTCTTGTCAAAATCAATATATGGCCCTTGAAAAAGAAACCTGAAGTACCTTCTAGAAACATCTGCGACGCCGGAACGACCAAGGGGCAAGGGGGACAGGCTTTAGTAAAAGGGCATTCAAAAGATAATTCTCAACTTTTACTAATTCCTTCGTATCTGCCATTTTATTTCGATCTTCTGTACGTATCTTAGACATTGGCTATCCTTTGGCGTAAGATATTCATTTACAAATTTTGAAAAGTGTCGTCATGAATTAGGCACTACATCCAGAATTTAATATATTCGTGGAAGTGACTTGAGATAGCAGATGGACTAATCTAGGATGAAACAGTTTAACAACCAAATTGTCTGTTAATTAGGTCTCTGAAAGCCAGCAGAGCCAAAGAGGCTTATTGAAATTCAAAATTCAAAATAAGAGGGTAAGGCATGAGTCCGGACACCCTAAACACAGACTGTCTTCGGAGTATTTCTGTGTGCCCCATGAATGCGGTGCCCTCCACACAAAAGAATTTAACAATAAGTTTCCTGACACTCCTCTAAAAAATTGATTCTGTACCGCCAAAAACTGTTCAAAATTAAGTTCTTGGAAAAGATAAATTCTCTTAAAAAAGGGGGTTGGTGATTAACTCGAAAAATGAAAAAAAAAATATTTTAAATTTTAAAGCTTCTGTAATATTTTAAATATAAACTTATCTATTTTATCTTCCTAAATAAACTCAAGTATTTCACGAAAAGTCTATTTCGATACGAATAAACTATCTTTAAAAATTTGAAACATCAGGGAGAAAGAAGATTGAGGTGATAAAAACATTTGAACATATTTGTTCAAAAGCACAAGTTGCAACTCATACATGCAGATTGACATTGTTGCGAAGCAGTTCATCAGAAGACTCAATGTTTTAGTTAGAAGTCAAGAATATTTTCGTTGCAAATAAAATGATCGATTGTATTTTTCTATTGTGGTCTGGTCATTTCTAACGATTAGAAGAACATCCGACTCTGCATAGCTTAGATAGCCAGTAAACTTTAGAAAACGTATCGAATAAACTAAATTTCAACTAAAAATTCCATTCCAAAATTTAGTTTACTTGTAGGTCAGACTCTATTGGGTGGCCTGTCTCAGCATCGAGCATGTTTTACTTTAAAATAATATCATTTTTCTTGGCAGAAGTCAGCCTAAAATAGATAAGGGCCCTTGGTTAATCCGCCACTGGGCTGTGGTGATTTTCTAAAGTGATTGCATTCTTTGATTTCGTTATCACTCAGTAATAGGCATGCAAGACTGATTCAGCTCATTGATTGCTTTAAAAATTGCCTAAGTAAAAATTGTTTAAAAGTGCATTTCCCAGCAAACTGGAAACATCAAAATTCAAGGTGGCAACCACGCTCGTCCAGACATACAGATCTCTATATGGTTGGGAAGGTCAAATACTATCATAAAAATGGATTTTGCGAATTATATACCATAGTTAGATCGACGGAATGTATTACAGAGGTATGTGTAAGCAACTAAGAAGTTCAGATAATTATGTTTAATCGGGCATATTTGTAGTCAACACCCCCCTTAACAAGGTCTGCATCTCGACAGCCCTGGCTGTAGCAAAACGTAACGAAAGTTTCTAACTGAAAAATCTCTGTAGAAAACCTGCATGTTGAATCCTTTGCTGTTCACAATATTTCTTAATGTTTTAGACTCAAAGATTAAAGATGTTTCTACCGATGTGGGATTGGGTGAAAGATACATCTGTTCCCTTCTCTTTGCTGATGGCCTGTTTTTATTGGCTTATTTGGCTGAAGATCTGCAATCCAAGCTTAATAAACTAAATACGTTTTGCATGTTCATTAATATGGGGAATAAATACTTACAAAACAAAAAGAATGGTTGTCAAGAAAATTTCTAAGGTATGGTAATGAGAAAATAAAAAAAATAATGCAACAATTACAAATACCTCGGATGTCACTATAATCTTGTGGCTCTTACGGTGCTTTCATTTAAACAATAAAACAAAACGGTCAAAAATCTTATTTTGCTTTCTTGTCAAAAAGCAACAAATGTGATGATTTCAACCCTAGGAGGTTTCTATTTTTATTCGACAGTACTATATTTCCCATTCAAAATAATGCCGCTGAAGTATGGAGATGTGGTACATGGGTATGTTTTGGAAAAATTTTATCTGATGCCTTAGAATTCAACCCAAGATGTTAAAAGTTCTACAGCTTCTCTTGTAGATCATGCAGTGTTCGGTAGATTTGGGAAGATCCTATTCCTTGGACTGACAGAAAATGTCCCTATTGCCATTCTTTGAAAATAACTGATGTGGATGATGGACATTTCGGAATTTATCATAAAAAGCGCGAAGTCAACTTTTATTCCTGTAAAGCTTGATTTGATTTGATTTAGCAGTCTCGATTTATTTAATAATGGTAAGAAGGCAGTGATAACAAGGAGAATGAATTTATCGGACTCAAAAGCAAGCTAGAAATAAAAATACAAAAAGGAAAGCCAAATATTGCTTTTATGTCACATTCAAACCCTTACATAAATTGCTCTAACGAAATGATTTCGTGTGAACGGATTCAGCTGCACGAGAGGTATTTTTTTGTTAAAAAATTCTTTACTTCTTTATACATTACACACTTTAAGATAATTTATAAAAACATTAATCCTGAATAAAATTAAAAATACAATAAACTAAATTTCAATGCTATTTCTACACAGAATTTAAAAAAGTAGATTTAATCTTTAATTCTTCAGCATATCTGTAATAGTATTTAAAATACCTCTAAATAGCAGAATCATGCATTTCAAAAATGCGTGCTCTAAATACATTTAATGCAACCTACAGGAACGTCATTCGCCAATGAGCATTCGAAAAATTTCAATCAGGTGATATTGTAATATGCATTTGATTGGTCGTTTGACGACTGAAAAGTTCTCTTTGACCCTTGCAAAAATTACACATATTTCTATCAAAATTTTCCACTTACATGATGGATCTTGAATGATATCCATTTTGAAAGAGCGAGCAATTGATGCCGGTTGGAGACAGCTGAATCAGTAAGACAATTCGCTTCCTTCAAAAGTGGCACAGTTTGGAAGGGACCGAATACCATTTCAGTTGGCCATTTCAGCTGGTCACTTTTAACTTCGAGGCCTCAAAATTTCCGACGGTAGCTTTACTACCATTTACCTTTTTTACCAACTGTTCCCAAAATGTATTTCTAACGTCATCGTTGCACCAGTCAAGGTATGTTCGGTCAAGAAGGAATATGGGTATTGCACATACTCGATATAGTATGGGAATGACTTGATGTCTTTTATGAAGATGTGACAGAGCCATTTTGAGTTCCTTCTGACACCAGTCACTGTTGACAAAATCTGGTGATAATACGGCGATCGTGTTCCGGCTTCTTGATATTGCGTCGGCGATATTCTTAATGATGAATTCTCCAGGCTCAAAATCCTCATAGTCAATACAAACACGCAAATCGCTTTTCTGAAGCATCGTTAGTAGCGTTCTCCTTACCCAGACTTTATCAGCACAACTGTAGCAGATGAAGACATCAAAATCAGGCTCTGAATCTAGGGAGAAGACAGTGTGTCTTAGACGTAAATAACATAGAAAAATGCGGGTGATGGATTTGATAAACAAAAAGTACTTAAGAGAGAATACTTGACAGGTGCCATATTAAAAAGGAATCCTGAAACCTCGTCAGCCAAAACACAAAGTCTAAACAAACATAAAATATGCTGAAAGGTACCAGTTTCATTCGAAGGAATCCTTGAAAACATCTCTCTTCTATCTGATAGGTAAATATCCGTAAACGATCCTGTTACACATTCCTCTAAACTTTCGCGCTTTTTGTTCTTTGATCTTTTGCGGCGTAATGCTAGCAATAGCAAAACGATCGCCAAAATGAGAACACAAGCAACAAATACCCAGACGATGACAGTCGTTACATCACTCCCTACAAAATAAGATATGGCTTACAGCTAGTTGATAGAGAGCGGGAAGTGATGTTGCAAAGGGGGTTAATCAGAAATAAATCAACATGGGCTATGTCTAGTGTCCAAAAACATGCTCCTTAATAGGTATGACATAGAAACAATATCAAGTCTTAAAAAACAAACAAATTGGTCGAAACAATCTTAAGCCTCCAAAATTTTTTTATTTTATGTGTAAGTTTGGTCGATTACGGTAAAGAATTATTCTTTCACTGAACAGATTTGAAGAAAAAAACATGCGAATTACATAAAAGCAAAAATGGCTCTCTGAAGAAATTATGATACATCTCTTACTGACAATAATCTTACTTCATGCTTAATCTAAGGCTTTTTTAAGGGCATACTACATTATCCTGAAATAGTGAGATTTGGTGTTCTATCTGAAAAAGCAGTCTTACGTACAAGCTTCACTGGTTGAGAGGGTAAGCCTTATTTTGGTTTCCACTGTGTTCCCCATGACCTTCTCAACCCCTGTGCAAATGTATTCTCCGACATCATCCTTCCTCATATCACGTATGACCAACGTAAAGGAGTCGCCAGAGAGTCTAATTGTGTGCTTAGAGCTGTTTGAAAGCGTTTCATTGTTTCGCATCCATGTTAGGTTGCCTACGAGTATAGGCTTTGATAATTTACAATCAAGTTGTACTGGGTTGCCAGCGTTGCCTTCTACAATCTTCTTGCTACATAGGAAGGTACAATTATGGCCTAGAGAATAAAATCGCTTGTTTATCACTATTTTCAATATCATAAAAAATTACAGCATTATTTCAAAGAATGAGTGGATTGAGGCCTAAAAACATTCATCCAATTTAAATAATCTCCACCTTATCAAAATTGGTCAATTTAACAACTGGTAAAACATAACTTTTAGGAGAAGAATATAAAAAAATCCCCTAAAAAATATATGTGACCACATCACGTTTTTGGTGTTGAATGAAAAAGATTTGCAGTAAAAATATAACCAAAGTTCTCTTTTCAGAAACAACTTCAAACTCCTTCGTCTTAGGTATGAGTAGGCAACCGTCTTGTTCCTCAAAATTCAAAAGTTTTATATGCATATTGACAGCGGGACGGGGGCCGAATCAAACCTAGGTTTTATTCCCACTGCAATACTAAAAATGACTAATGGTGTGGCCGATAAAAATATCAAATCAACAGCAACAGTCAACTCCACTGTGAACATCTTTATATTCTCTTGAAAACTAACATCACGCATGAGCCCTTAATCAAACTTTGGAATAACTTCTAAACCAGGCCGTCAATTAATAGCAGTTGAATGTCACGAAGATTACATTACTATATATTCTACATCATACCATAGTTTTCGCAAGAGTCCACCGGGCAAATTTTGCACTGATCTAGGTTCTTTTTGCCTTCTAATATCTTCAAAATCGTATGATACGCGGCTGCAAAGGACATTCGAGGACATGCTTTTGGCGCGGTTGATGCCAAAGAGCAGTAAGAGTTAAGCGGACAGATTTTACAGCCGGATGATGAAAACAGGCCAGTGACATTGCTGAACGTTCCCGCCGGGCATGGTATCTCCTTATTTGTTTTCACATTGCAGTGATAGCCAGCACGGCAGGGACCTGTATTGGAGACAAACAAGTACATATACATTTCAGAGTACATTACATGAAAAAATATACATTACAAAATACGTGAAACTCCGGGTAGCAACTTAAGGGCGCTCAACATTTGTACAGTGATGTTTAGTGATGTTAAGTGATGTTGAATAGGGGTGTTAAAACGCTCTCAACAATTCGACTCAACATTCGTTGAGCGATGAACTTCGGACTCTCAGAGATCCAAGACAAGGGAATCCGCTGTTTAGGAAGGGTGTTTTGGAAGATGAGCTTCGATACTTCCTGATGATTTCCTTTCCTAAGGTAAGGATTTTGGTCTTGCAGCTTGCTTTGAATTGCTATCTCATCCGATTCACTTTCACTGCCAAGTGATTCCAAGCGTTCGTCATGGTTTGCCATCAAGATCTATAAAATTTAAGTTCTCTCAACCTCTTGGTCTGATCAGAGTTCTTGACGCGTTAAAGCCTTTCTTTGGCGCGCAAAACCCAAGTCTAGTGCGCTTGCACCGACTGAACCAGGGGCGGATCCAGAAGAAAATTTGACTGTCTCACAATCCAGCTGAGGGTTTGGGGTCCTGAAGGTTGCAGGGGGGCACAAGCTGAAATTGCTAATTCAACATCATTTTTTCATTACGAATTCTCTGTTTCTTTATTGTGCTCTTGATGATTACAGGCATTGTAGTTGCCTTACACCATTACGTTTTCCAGAGAGACATAAAATGTACTCTTGACATTTCTTTACACAAAAATAATAAAAAGGGATCAGTAACTAGAATAGAAGCAAGAAAACCCAAAAGTACAATGACATCAAATTATGAAAGTAGGATAGCAGCAATATAGAACAACTATAAAAGAGCATTAGAAAAGGAACTTCCTGAAAAAAAACATAACAGAGTGGAACAATAATACTATCTCTAGCAAGTGATAGAGCACAGAACAGAATAAGAAATATTTTCCCATTGATGCATATGGAGTTTGAGCTTTATAGACAGTTTCCATCTGTAGTGGATTTAATGTGAGATTGAAATATAACTTGCATCAGGCTTTTGCTTACACTCCAATAAATAAATCTAGATTTCTATGAAGTATATTCATAAACTCACTTAAACTAATATTACTGCTGCTTGCCAGGTTATGAAACACTAAAAACATATATTTATTGTATTGCTGTTGAACACTAAAAACATATAATGCTGGGAATCCAATTTTAATCAAATTTGTGTTGAAATGGAGTCACATAAGACACTCAAGAATATTGGTTGTAGTACAAATAAATTAGATGGAATTATTTTTGTACATTTTGAGTAATCATAAAGTTGTTTTTGAAAATTTTAATAGTTTCTTTTCAAAGGCAACTCTTTCATGAATTGCAAATGATAGTTCATGAAAGGCAACCATTAGCTGCCAATTCTTTTGTTGATTAAACACAAAAATTATATTGACTCAAAAAGCTTTTATGAATAGAAGTAGACCATGGTATCTCTGAGGGCCCACTTTTGTCAGGTATCAGAAGAAACCTACATATCATTTCATAATACATATCAAAATAAAGAAAACGTCCAAAAGATACATGATCATTTGAAAAGGAAAATGGGTCAAAAGAAGTGCTGATCGTTTTTAAATTAGAAAGGGGAATAAATTGCAGCCCTAAGTAGGATATTTCAAAATACAAGCATATGAACAATTTAAATATTTGCTTAGATCACAAGAAAGATCACATAAATTCATTCTACTACATGGTTTACATAAGTTAACACTACAATGTCATTTCTTACACTGTCTCTCAATGGCAAGAGCATCATTCACCTCCTTTTGGGTGTTTCATCATATCATTTCAGGAAATTAATCTGAAGGCAGAACCACCAGGGAGAGTGTTGGTACCAGAGTCAAATTATTTGGACCTAACTAAGCATTCATAAATGGGAAATTGCTACAAGCTTTTTAATTAAAATCAAACAACGTATCTCAGAAACCCCCTTCAGCCATCAACCCAAATTATCTGTTGCTGTTGTTGTTGCTTCGTTTGTTGATGAAATTTAACCAAAGCAAAGGGTAATATGTAAACAATTTCAGAACGACTGTAATAAGCAGGCTGTCCACATAAATTTGCCTTGAATACCTCGCCGCAGCTACCCTCTCATTGACTGAAGGCTACACAACTACGTCTTTCTTTGAAAGAAAAGAGGCTGCAAACTTATTGTCAGTTCAGTGCAAAGTTGACAACCCTTTCAAGTCTTGCTAGTTCTGTGTGTTTTAACTCAGCTGGCCCTCGGAACTCCTCTGCCTTTATTAGTTCTCCCACTCTTTGCAAAAGCTCCATTTTAAGGTGCTTACAGGAGAAACAACACGATTTTCATCACAAATTTTCCACACATCATCCAATGCAAAATGCCGGGTTTGCACTGGGCTCCTTCGGGGTGGTGGGTAGCAAGATGAACTTTACACAACATACGTCTCACCGATGCCGCACAATCGCACAATTTGATTGGTGGGATGATGCCTGTGCGAACTTTAAAAAAACCATCAGTCTCACGGATACCCCGAATCTGACTACATTGGATCCCTGCGATTTCCCCGATATCATTTTTATGGATCCTTGACTTTCATATGATTACGTATACTGACTGAGACACTGAGACCAGGCCAACTACAGTAACGATACTTTGCACTAAACAAATGGTTGTTTTTGCAGACATCTGAAAATCTGACTGTCTTACGTGCGAACGGTGAGACAGTCTGGATCCGCCCCTGGACTGAACATTGTTGTATGGGGTGTTAAAACGCCCTCAACATCTCTCAACAACACCTTTAACAATAGAAATGTTGAGTCGACCCGATGAACATTTTTGAATCCGTCCAAACTCCACTCAACATCGTTGAACACCGCTCACTGTAAAAACGTTCTCAACATTTGCACTTTACAAATGTTGAGCGATGTTCAGTGAAATGTTGATAGCGCTTTAACGACTTTTAAATTCCAATTAAACATATTTTTACTTCTTACGGAAGAAACAAATCAGGGGCCATAAAGTACAAGTGAAACTTACAGCTTAGGATAACTTCTGAGGAATAATCTTCTCGAATCACGAACTGAACCGATAAGAAATTTGTGTTGTACCTGAACCAAACGAATACATTATATCTCATAATTCCTACCTTAATGCCCTCCCTCTTAGGAGTGATTCCCCTTTCAACTTAGCAATGATCCAGTAGAATCTAAAGGACTACAAAGCTAGCAACTTACGTGTTTTAAGGGTGACTCCCCTTTCAACGAGGCATCGAGACACCGTTAGTACGCGACAAAAGTATTCTCCGCTGTCACCTGCATCAATCCTATTAATCGTAAGAGTCCGAAAACGATGCTTTTTGCCGTTACAGGTTCCACGATAGGACTGTCCATATAGGTACTTTTCTGTCTCGTTAATCAATACAACATTTCCGGTTGGCCATCTTCGTCTGAATGTTATGGTTGGTGGGAACCCAAAATATTCTTTGTATAAAGAAAAGGAACAGGTGAGATTGACCGACAGTCCTTCTATCAAGTCCTTTGTGCTTTGTCTACACTGGTCGTCAGGGGCGAAGTAGAACGAACCTATAAAAATTCTCAATACCTCAACTACAGTCAACAATATCAGTTGAGTTCAAGCTTGACAAATAATGAAAGTATTTAAGAGAAGATCTACGAATGAGTATAGTTCCAAACAACAGCCCTACTCGCTTTTAAAGATTCCCTGTTTATTCTCGGGTAATCATTGCTTATACCCAATTCCCTGCTTTTCCCACTTACCCCTGCCTACTTTTGCGTATCCACTGCTTACACCTTACATACTCCCACACAGCCACCGCTTTACTCATACCGTCCATTCGCTCTTTTTATTCTAACAGACAGCTTTTATTGTTACACAGTGCTCTGGTTTTTCCAAAATGCTCTGATTACCACTAACCTAAAAAAGACTGGATCGAACACTGGAAAGATCATTTCTTTGTAAGAACCGATAAGTGAAGCCAAAATAAATTTGCAGCGGCCATATTGGATAGACCAGAAAATGCGGGAGAATTTTTAAATAATGGACAAGAAAGGAACTCGATGTTTTGCATTTGGCTGCAACATTAAGAGACATGCTCCATTGAACCCGATGAACGACCGAAGTGATAGCGATCAGTGCCGATTTGCGATCAATGCGGATTACTCGCACTTCTGTCGCTAACCCCGACATTATCCCTACGTACTCACAAATACCAGTGGATGTGTGGAAGTAAGCAATAGTTCTGTTAGAGTATGCGCTAGGGGTAAAACAGTTGAATCCTCGCTGTAAATCTGCCTTGAACACTGGATTATATAATAATCAATACATAGGAAGTCAATTTTTTCAATTTTTGTCACTTGTTTTTGTTGTTGGCATTTTCTTCCAAACACAAATTCGAATGCTGGCAACACAATTCTTTTCTTACCAACCCCCTCCCCCTCGACATATCTCTTCTTGAGACTCATCAAGATTCAATTTGGTTTAAAAATCGATAATTTAAGGACTTAATTGTCATTTCATTCTTGAGGAAAATAGAATTGTTTGCCTGCAGAGGTCAAGCTATCAAGCCCACCTCCACTTGCAAAATGGGGTCATGACTTCAACTTTAATGTAGTGGAAATATAGAAAGAATAAACAGAATCATAAGGTCATGACAAATAATGAAGGATAAGAAGCAAGGGAAATGCTTACTATCTATCAATGCCTGAAAGTCTACAGTTTTCCTCATCAGCTGCTTTTTATTATTATCCGAGGCAATACATATATATTCCCCTGTACTACAGAAGGACAGCCTTGACTTGTCTATGGTAACAGTTGCCGTGCAATTCGTCATCTTAACTTTAGCAAAACGGTTGTCCCCATTTTGTAAAACTAAACTCTTTGCATCATCTATTGGTTGGTTATGTCGATGAAACCAAATTGATAAATTGGTTGGTTTGTTGACAGTACAACTCATTTGAAACCCATATGACTCTGCGTATGGCTGAAACCAAGCAGCAGCTGGCTTGACTTCCATCTGTAAACTTCCTAAAAACAAAAACAATGATACCAATTTTATAATTGTTATCAAAAACCCACAACGGTGCAATAAGAAGCGATCATCTCTAACAATGACGACTAATAATGTAGACATACAAATGTTTTGCATCGTACAAGCCAGAAAGTCAGATACAACAGATAAACAGAGAGTTCATATATGCACAAAATCGTCCAAGTATAAATCAACTGGCACCAAACAGTATGCTGGCTATTTGCAAAGAAAGGTGAAGCTTTTGAAAATAATTTCGTGTCTCATCGTAAATGGCTCAGTGCTTATAACTTCTAGAGTGGCGCATTTCAGTAACATTATCATTCACATCATTCCTTTCATCCCTCACTAAAATCACAAAGCTTTATTGCAAGGTTTTTTCCTTGTACCTTCTCCATTCACCTTTAGGTCAAATGCACTCCTTAGTTGATTCTTCGCTTAGTCATTCGTTCACAATTGAAGCATATTTCATTTTTACATTCAACATGGTAACGACGATCTCGCAGGGCTGTCTAGCCCACTCCAGCCCCTTTACAAATAGGAATACTTTGATCAAGGTTTATTCAGAGACCCTTTGACTTAACATTTGGTCAGGCTACATGCGAAAGCTGGGTCATTCTTAAACATACTGTAATTCGGGTACTTTATCACTTAAAAATTTAATAATACAAGGCAGCTTCCGAGTGGTGAACCTATTATGGAGAAATCTATCTTGCTTACTATTGAACAATTGTACTAATATGTCACGCTTCTCTAATTTCGAGGTACCTCGAAATTCAACAAACAAAATATAACGAAAAGCGCTGCCGGGAAATATAATTTATTAAATAAAATATAATTTTCACGCTTAATGCAACCACCGGGAAAGCGACCCAAGTTGCCTGAAACTCGCATCAAGCTCGAAACTCGGAGTAGCAACTTAGAACCGCTTTGTTCTATACACTGAAAGCGTGTAGAGCCCTGCATATATAGCCTAAGCCGTAGGTCAGCCCTTCTCCCCCATTCAAAACGGCGTAGTCTATGCAAATACGGCATCGAGCACTTTATGACAGACCGCCCAACAGTACGTTTCATTAATTCATTGTATGAACGGTTAAACAACACAAAGGAATTTTCGTTGCACACCAGATAAGAAATGACTAGACTTCTTGCTTATGTGTCTCATTTACGTGAAGATTGGATTCGATAAAAACAGTTAGCTCAAAGATGTAGAGGTATCTTTTGATAATCATCATGATAATAAGGGTGAAGGATTTCTCCAGATGGGATTGATTGTTAAGGATAGCCAGGTTTATCAGCGTAGAATTTAGACTCGTAAACATTTTGTAGAGAGGTAGCTACAAAGTTTAGGATGGAGTTACAGTATTCTCTCCAATTAGCGAACACCGTCGGGGCACGAGCAAGGTGTCCGCTAATTGGAAATGTCCGCCTTTTGGAAAGTTTTGCAATGTAAGTCCCAAATTTGAAAATAGACCCGAGTTTTGTATTTAAAAGGTGTAATCAGTGGTGGTGCCAGGGGAGGGCTACAGCCTTCTCTCCAACTAGCGAGCACCGTCGGGGCACGAGCAAGGTGTCCGCTAATTGGAAATGTCCGCCTTTTGGAAAGTTTTGCAATGTAAGTCTCAAATTTGAAAATAGACCCGAGTTTTGTATTTAAAAGGTGTAATCAGTGCTGGTGCCAGGGGAGGGCTACAGCCCCTCCGTCGGAAGCATCTAGCCCCCCATCGGAGGAAGTTATTGGAAAGAGGTTGAATCGTGGGGGTGGCTATTGTCTGGAGATTCCAGTAATTTGCCACTTTCATGGACAAGAAAAGTTAGTAAGCTGGGCTGTAAAGAAGCTCAAAAATGTAAAAAATCAACTAGATTGTCAAAAGTCAAAGTGTTTGAAATAGATATTTTAACAAATATTCATTCGTCTAAGGTTTTTTGTTTGCTGGCTCCTAACTTTTTTGTAATGTCCGCTAATTGGAAAGAAAAAGAGATAAAATTGACTTTTTTGTGCAAAAATATTGTCCGTTAATTAAAGTGTCCCCTAATTAGGCGTCCGATTTTTAGAAAGTTTTTGATGAGACTTTGACCAGAAAACGATCGGGAAAAAATAATTTGTCCGCTAATCAGAGGCGTCTGCTTTTTAGAGTGTCCGTTAATTGGAGATAATACTGTATGAGGCCTGGTATAACGGCTTTTTTCTAACATGTATTGCAGCCGGGAACAAAGTGATAGAAGCAGGGGCGGTCTGGCGTCAAAATCGCAGGATGGCTAGAAAATTCAAAGGGCCCGGTTTAGGGCGTAGCAAGAAAAGTTGAACCACACCTACTAAAAATGTGGCCTTAAAAACGATTATAATAAAAGTTGATATTAAAGCAATCCGCTAAACAGCAGCAGTATATCGATATTAATTTGTAAATTCGGACCCAATTGGATCCATACCTTTCCCCTCGTGTAAACAGGGTTTCAAATCCCATGTAGAGTTAAGAATCAAGATCAAAATTTATTCAAGCTCTCAGAGTTTCAACTCTTTTCGAAGAAGTGCAGATAAATCAGTTAATTGGTAAATGATTTGCTAGTAATCGAGTGGAAAGTTTTCTCTTCGTTTGGAATTATCAATAGCGCTAAATAATCGTTCACAGGAAACTTAGGCGCTACTCAGTGTCATCAAGCAATTATACGCATTGTAGAGGGAAGGGTGTGTTGCTAGATGCATGTTGTATTCACTAATTTTTTATAAGAACCAGTAAAATTAGGTTCAGGTTCACTGTTCTTAATTTTTCGAAAATTTTAGGCTGGATTGCTCTTGATGTTTTTTTTAAATGGTGTAAGCAGTGCGATTGCTAGCTTTTTCGTTCTAGGGAGGTGTTCAGGCCTTATTTGCCAGCAAAGTGAGTGAGGCAGCCTTCATTTGACGACAAGATTGAATATTCAACGAAAAGCACCCACACATGGCTAAAAATGTTCGTATTTGGGATAAAATGTTGTTCAAAATTGCATTTTACAGTAACTCAGCCTTAGCTTGTTCTTAATTTGTTCTCAACTTTTGACCGGTTTTGATGCTCATGTTCTTATAAAACTGCTTTATATAATAGAAAATATAAATAAAGATAATAAATAAAAAAGAAAGTCGTTACAAAGTTTTGAATACACAGGGTATGCACATTTGGCAAGCTTCTACCCTTTTGATACAGTGTGTCAATGTCGACTTTGGGGTCCTTTTTCTCTTTGTGAATCCCCACCTTGAAAGGCATAGTTTTACCTTTCATATGTTTCTTCTCTAAGAGCTTTTTTCTGGATCTCCATTTGCACCAGGTGTTGTTTTCATTTGAACGATAAGCTGCTGGTAGCAATTTGCCAAAGCCAGCAATTCTGACATTCTCTAAACGAGAATTCTTGAAAAGAAGGCTCTCGTTGCTCTCTTGCTTCATTTTTGTGTCAACAAATGTTCTTGGCTCTAGCATTGCTAAATCCTGATACATATCTCTATTCTTCGAGAACCTTCTGTCAGTCCCTCCCATCTGTATTTAAGGTTGTAACCAGATGGTAGTGATGACTCCTTATCGTCTCTTTTTCTATTTCCATTTTTGAACTTTACAATGAGCAGCCGCCACCCCCCACCCCCTCCCCCCTAAATATGAATTTTGTTCCCAGAGCACCGTCTCTGACATTTCCTGTTTCATATAATCATAATTGGATTAAAAATGTAACTTAAATCAATTCATAACTAAAACATGGATGATTTTTTAATCAAGCAATTTTTGTCCATTCCAGGTCAGATACAATGGGTACCAGAGCCACATAAATTGGAGAGCGGAAATAGAAGATAAGAGTATGCTCCACCGCTTCTCTGCATGTTATTCTATTTACGCGCTCGAAATTTTGTGGCTCTGGTACCCAGGGTACACGTAGGATTGAACACATGGGTGAAATAACGGAAACCCGGGTTTGGGTGGTTTGAAGTGCATGTATTGGGACTTTAATCGCACTATAATCAGTCTACGGCATTACGTTTTTGACTTTAAGTTGAAAAATTTTCTCCAACGCGGTAGGGCCCGTAAATGTTTTGTACACAGGGCCGGGCCCGGGTGGCGATCGCCACTTTGCCACCCGGGCCAGACCGCCCCTGGATAGAAAGTTTCTGGCATAAAACAAAAAGAGTTGTCAGAAACTGGCTAAAGTTCCACTTTATCTGAGTGGAGATGGCGCAAGATTTTCTGCGTGGCAAGGGTAAAACTGTGGTACTTTAAACGAAATCCAAATTTTCTGCGTCTTTGACTTTGAATGCATATTTGACTTTGCATATTGAGTTGCTTTAAGAGATGCTTTGCAGAGATTTATCATCTTGTTGGGCAGCCTTCAATGCTTCTTTTCTGTTCCTTATATATCATACGGTATATTGATATTTGGCGCTATTGGTGATTTTATTGCATAAGGAACGAAAGCTATTATTGGATGAGACCTTCATACCAATGCTTATATTTTTTTGACAATGAAAGTCAAAAACTACGACTACTACCAAATGAAAGGTAACTCTAGGTTAGTCCAGGTTTGATTCTATATCAGAATATTGAGTACCATATTTTCCAAAGAGATGCAACGCTCGAATAGAAGCTACCCTCAATTAGAGGCTACTATCAATTAGAAGCTACCCTCAGTCAGAAGCTACCATCAATTAGAAGCTACCCTCAATCAAAAGTTACCCTCGATCAGAAGTTACCCTCAATCAGAAGTTACCCTCAATCAGAAGTTACCCTCAATTAGAAGCTACCCTCAATTAGAAGCTACCATCAATTAGAAGCTACCCTCGATTAGAAGCTACCCTCGATTAGAAGCTACCCTCGATTAGAAGCTACCCTCAATTAGAAGCTACCCTCAATTAGAAGCTTCCCTCAATCAGAAGCTAAAGTTATTAAAGAGAGATAGTAAATAGAAGCCTATCAGCACTCAGTCTCAAAGCTTAGTACCCATAAGCAAGAGCTATTACTATAAAAAGACAAAAAAAAGATTTACGTGATTACAGACTTTCACAAAAGCAATGGCCAATTCTATATCACATCTATTAAAACTATTAAAAGTCCTAGAATAGAAGCAGCCCTCGAATAGAAGCTGTCCTCTAGGAGAGGCCACCCTCGAATAGAGACCGCCTTCAAATAGAAACCGTCCTCGAATAGAAGCCGTCCTCGAATAGAGACTGCTCTCGATAGAAGCCATCCACGATAGAGACCACCCTTAAATACAGACCGCCCTCGAATAGAAGCCGCCCTCGAATAGAAGCCGCCCTCGAATAGAAGCCGCCCTCGAATAGAAGCAGCCCTCGAATAGAAGCCACCATCCAACAGAAGCCGTTCACAAATAGAAACCTCCCTCGCAAATAAACTTTTTCAAAACAAAATTGCATAGAAGCCACGGCCCCTTTTTAAGAAAATAGGGTATATGACGCAAATTGAAATGCTTGTAATTACTGGAAGATGAGCACTTTACCACAATCTGCTGGACTGTTCTTATACTGTATAAAACATTAATATAATACATTGACTCGTAGATTTCAAATTGAATAATAAATTGCTTCGTCAGTTTCTTTCCTATTCATATAAGAAATAGGTATCAACAAATAAAATATTTACCTGAACATTCCTTGCATTCTGATGAGCTTGCATTTGTGAAATCTACGATAACAGAAAAATCTATATCGAGACAGCATCTATTAAGAGTTGCACAATATTTACCGAAAAATATGCACTATCGCGAAAATCTGAGAAAATTTGCTAGGAAACTATCAACCATTTTTGCTAGGAAAAGCTCTATGTTATGAAAAGTAAGATAAAACAAACAAGAAGTTCCAGCAAAGAAAACCAATCAACACAAGTACGAATTTGTTTATATTCGTTCAAGACGACAGTGCAGAAAAAGGCATCCTGATAGCATACGTTCTGCTTTTCAATGCAACGGTAATATTATCAATGCGGCTGACGATAATCCCAAAATTATAAAATAGATTCGTTGATAACGATAATTTGCTACAGTAGAATCCCATTATAACATACTCAGTTATTTCGTACTTTTGGCTATAACATACTGGTGTGCTTGGTCCCGGCAAAAGGTGTGCTTGGTTTTAGTCAATCTTTACTTACCCTCCTTACATCGAATATAACGTATATACTTAATACACTGGTCCCTTAAAGTACGTTATAACCAGATTATACTGTATTCTAATTCATTTATTCTTGACTCACATCAAACAAATGTTATATGCACATGGAGTAGATCATTGAATTTTCATAGGCTTTTTAAATATGAGTTTGAATGGCTTACACAAAGGATTTTCTATACAAGAACTACTGCATTGCATAGGGTAGGCATTCAATTTATGTAAATCTCCTTCTAGGGTAATTGAAGATCAAACTTGTCAAAACCTTTTGAGAGGAAGAAAAGTCCTGCCAATAGATTTACATCAAAACTTAGTGATTAATGATTATTGATTATTGATTATTGATAATTAAATGATTAAATGATTATGATTATTGATTATTGATATTTAAACACACCTGTTGGACATTTTTCTGAGCTTGTTGCAACTGTGATCTCTGAAAGACAAAACACATTATTAATTAGAAAAGTAAGAAAAGCAGTTAGAAAATATTTTATTTTAGGGAAGACACAGATATACTGAAAGCTACAGACCTGTTTCCTTTGATATGGGTGGCAAGATGGTTGCAATGAATAACAAGCTTTTGAAGTTCTGTCAATGCAAACTACTCTCTTCCTATTGATGTTTAATGGCTAGCCATAGCTAGGAGGAAACCATAAACTACAAGCTATGCTTATTAAATCGGTACTGAGTACATCTACTAATAAAAAGTGGCACATATTAAATTTAGAAAGCTCTGCTTTTCTATTGCTTTCTATACAAATCATTATATAAACCACTTGGCTTAAAACTAAACTTATGGCTGTTTGCATAACCATGAAACACCGCCATCTGGCTGTATAACCTAAAACTGAAACAAAAGCAGGAGCTTTTAACACTTAAAGGGGCTGGGTCACATAGTTATAAACAAACATTTTGTGCAGTACAGTCTGGGTGAAAGAGGGATTTTGTTAATCACAAAAGCTAAGTATCTGGCCAAATGGTAGTCTGAATAATTCTTAAACCATTGCTTTCACTTTTAGCAATGTTTACTGTTCGTGAACCTGGGCTTTCGCAGACAGATTTCTCTGTGCTGCCCTTTCGGCAAAACAACCCCTTAGGACATCCCCTTCTTGCATTCTAGCTACAGTAATAATGGCTTTATTTGATGGACTGATCAATGTAATGATGTTGAAATATTATACGCATAAAATAAATCTTTGAGGCTTAGACAATTATAAAATTCATTTTTAGTAACAAAAAACATTAAAATACTCTCAATGTACTGTGATTATTTGTCTTATTACCACAGCATATGCATTTCAGTTGCTGTGGTAGACAGACAAATAGTTACATGTAAGTAGGGGAATTAGTAAATTCTGATAAAACTTATTTTTCAAAACTGTTTTCTTCCATGCTTCTCTCACCAGATTCAGGTTGTTTTGCATAACATGGCCACGATTCAATAAAGAAGTTGATTGCAAAGCCAGAAAACAACACACAAAAATTGGCTTTGAACTTGTAGTGTGTAAGGTTGGCATAGCTGCTGAAACATCTAATGCTGGGTGAGCTGAAAGTGACATTCCAGAGTGACCGGAAGGCTAAATTGGTAAACTCAAGCTCTGAGACAGACCTGTCAAATTTTAGTTTTGAAAATGAGTGAGTTTTGTGAAAAGGTAGGGAAAGATGTTTGGGCAGTCATAGGCAGATCAGGGGCCGACCCATAATGAATCAAGACTACCACACGGGAAAAATGGGGTCTTGGGATGCAACCTGAGAAACTTCAAAACCACCATGTTGAGAAAAAATTCCTGTTACAAAGATTCTTTTTGCAGGATACCATCATCATCAATCAAACTATCACATAAAAATCCCTCTGCTCTAGAGCTTACATGAAAAACACTCTGGAGTCACTAGGTAGAGGAAAATTGTAATTTAATCACACTTTTCCAAAATACACTGCTTTGAAACTTAGCTTTTCTTATCATCTTCTGCTTTGAAGCAATTTGGTCATCAGCGAAGTCTTCCTTACATTTTCCTATTTAGATTCAATTGTTTTCAAATAGTTTAAACACTAATCTCTGTATCTCAATTTTCAGGGTTATTTTCACCATTTTATGCAGTCAGCAGTTTTTATTGAGAAAGAATTTATAACAGTACATAACTATGACCAGATCATCAAATAATTCAAATATAGTTCACTTTCAGAAATTCAAAGAAATGAAGCTATAAGAGTAAGCAGAAAGTTGTAGTGTAATTGCAACCCCAAATATCACTCTGGAGAAAAGATACTCAGCTCTGTTCAATTTTGATAACAATCCCATGGCTCTAACTAAAGGGAGATTATGCTTCTCTGGTATATTTCAGTCCTGGTAATATGAATCTTGGCGGCGTGCTGGTAATCGAACGCCTTGAGAAGTTTAGGCGTGTGATGGCATGCAATGGCGTGTGATGGCATGAAAAGAGAATAGTAATTTATAACATGGAACTGCCCGTGGGAGTTTCACAGGCCTGGCCATTTGTATTTTTATAGGTGAGCTGTGAATCGCTCCCCTCATTTGCTGAGGCGAGCTAAATCAGTAACACATAGAATGTACTTTAAAGACAATCGACAGATGACTTAAGCCCCTTTAGTATCTGCCGGTTGCCTTTAATAGCCTCAGTCAGGAGTATGCTGTTTTATTTCTTTAAATTTGCATTTGCTCTAACCGTGACTTCAGCACCCCCTTTACTTAAAGTATTTAAAAGAACAGACTCTTTCAGTTTCACAACACAAAAACAACATTTTTCTTGCCAAACAGTCTTTTTGTTGTACAGAATTTGAAAATGGCTTTGAAAAACAAATTTTGAAACAAACTTAAGTTATACGTCTAACACTCTTCAGAGTATAAAACGTCAGAACATAGATGGAAAACTCTACGCTAAAATACCCAGTTTTGGATCGAAATAGGCCAATCAGAAAACGCGAGCACATTACTGTTGAGGTTGTCCAATCTTTGCCGCTTTCCTATCGAAAATGTTACCAACGGATTCCTAAGGTGAAAACGAACTCCTTCTGTCTACACAAAAGCGGTCTGTCATGTTTATATAGTAGATAGATTCACAAACTGCTAGATGGAACGATGATCATGCTTTACCAATAATGCGAAACATGTCGCCGTTATAGTTTTTCACCCAATCTGGGTTTTTCAGTAAATGCCGCTGGATAGTGGAATTCCATGTTTTGGTTTCTTCAACTTTACTTCCAAAAATATGCCTGTTTTATTAAGATTGAAAGGTTCTAATCGCTAGAAACGTACCTTTCGCTTAACCACCCTTTTCCAAATAGATCGAAGTTCATGCCTATTATAACAAAAACCGCCCAACAAGCAAAAAGTTAATTGCAAATAATGCAGTGACGGGAGAAATCGCTGTTACAAAAATAAACCAATTAACCCTTTTCAGGGTTCTCTGAATAGGAAAAGGGCAAATGAATGGAAATTTTAGGGGAGCGATTCTCCTTTCATGTTCTGTTTAGGAGAGCAATTCATAGCTCGCCTCAGGTTGCGAGGGGAGCGTGGAGGCGAGCGCGAGCTATCGCTCGCCTCAAACCGCCAGGCCTGGTTTCAGGCATGTGTGGAGGCATGTGTGTGCGATCGCACGCCTAATATTACCAGGACTGTATATTTCCAAATAATTTACTGTATGCCGTAGCCTCAATAGAGTCAACCTGCATTTTATGCAGACAAGAAAAAAAAATTATCTTAAACCAGCTCTCTAATAAAAATGACATCAGTTGACCCATGCCAATTTGCTGTTATTTAGTCATTTGATATGGTTTTAGGGTTTTTGCTAGGATTTGGAAGTAAAAATGAAAAACTTGAATAGACCAAGAAATCTATAGCTGAATTTGAAAGAAGTCTGCGTTGATGCTTGTGGGTGTGAGAAAAGACCAAAATGCTTGTGTCTGGAAACATTTTTCAAAATTAAATCATGTATGTGCAATTTCTATGGCAATAAAATTTGGTTAAAGGCAAAGCAAATAACACAGAATTGAAGAAAACATCTTAATTTGAAAAAGCCAAATAGCCATAAATAACTTGATGAAACAGGAAAAAATCTTTAAGCAGAGCTGTCAAATAGCTATGCCCAACTGACATGAGTTGGATTTGGATGTACACTCATTTTTTATAAGAAACTGGCTATAATTAACGAGTACTGGACAGTCAGAAAAAATTAAGAAACTCCAGTACTCGAAGCAAAAAAATCAAGAAACTATCAAATCGTGATAAAACTGAGAATAACAAAATTTTCTAAAATCAAAGAACATGACTGCCCTGTTGGCCTAGAATTTAAGACACACGGGATAGAAATATACTTCCCACATCTAAATACAACATGAGAACAAGTGAATCTCTTCACATGATGAAAAGGTCATGAACATTTCATAACATCATTCATGACATCATAATTAAAACACTCTTAAGAAACAATGAGTATTGAAATTTCCAGAACATTAAGAAACTGGAGCACTCAACATTGACCTTTGTTTCTTATAAAAAATGAGTGTACTTTATGAAAAAATTAAGATTAAAGAAACTTGTGTTTTTAACTCCTTAGTTCTTGAATTCTTTTGTCTTTTGCTGATAGTAGAGACATCTAGAGATGCATGAGTCATTGGCAAAGGGGCGAAATGGCATAAGTGGCATTTTCACTAAAATGCCCTTAATAAATCCCTATTGAGTTATCAAGAAAATCTGTATGAAATTCTAACAGATAGGCTTATTTCAAACAATTTGCTTAAAATCTGATGAAATTCCAAACATAGATAGTCTTATTCAAAACATTCCAAAAGAAAGGATTATTCTGTTACAATTCATTTGATAGTGACATTGTCCTGTTCCGCCATTTAGCGTGCGACATTCGTTTAGACATTCAAATAGACATTCGCATAGACATTCTGACTTTGATTCCTTCTTACAAAAAAACTATAAAATATATTAAAAAGAAATTTCATAGAGGGAAACTTGTCTGGATTCTCTGTTGATTCGTGTATCTTGTTCATAATAAGACGCGCTATACTTCCAAAGGTGAGCAAAAAAGTCGAAATTTTTTGAGACCTCTAAGACCTAACACAAGGTTACCCCTGTTTGGGCACATAAAAGGATACAGAATTGAGATAAGGTGAGGTTTGCTAGAAACAGTTTAAAGCAACCCTTTTTTATCAAACCGTTAATATAAAACATAAATCGAATTACCAAAATTTTTAATCTGTCACAACCGAACAAAAATTCATCATTTTTAATTACAATGATCCCTTCGTGGGTCCGTGAAAAGAAACGATCTCTTCTAGCAAAACGAAAACGAAAAAATGAGCCGTGAAAACTTCTAAGTGTCATTTGATGATGTACAAACCTCCAACAGCGAAGATCAGGACGATGAGAATCATTTTACTTCTTGATTTATTTATCATATAGCCGGTCCATGTCAACATAGTCAAACGTCGAATCGTTTATTCAGTTACACGGAACTTGCGTGCGCATGATTCTCAAATTTCTGCGATCATAGCTGCGATCAACTTGATCGTCAGGGCTCCGACACAGGTTGGAAAATGGAAGGGGGGCAATGGAAAATTTAACACTCAAAGCAAAAGATTTAGAAAAAGGCTCTTCTATTTTGCAAAAAAGTGGGAGAATGGTCCCCGCCCCCATCGTCGGAGGCCCTATATTGGTTAATCGAATTTTCTTTGTGAAAACTCTTTGCGACCAAGATTTTTAGATTAGCTCAAAAACATTTCATAAGTTTTTATAGCAATTTTCTTGCAGACAAGCTTTTTTTACGTTTGATGCAAAAAATATGTGGTGGGAAACTTCACAATATTTCAGCGCTGTTTATATACCGATTGGCTGCCGGTTTACAAAATGAGAAGGACAAATAAGGATTTTATAACCAATGTATAAACTAACGTAAAGTTTTAACGATACTAGAAAAATTGTTACTAGTGTCAACTTAGCTTCCTTTTGATCCAGGAAGAGTGTAAAATAAAGTATTTTACAGGACAGGTAAAGCTCATAAATCAGACTCCAGTTCGCAATAACTTTTTTTAAATCAAGATTCTTCAATAGCGATCGTATAATCAGCAGCAACCAACGATTACAAGATAACGACTTCATTCGACGACAACTTCGACTCGACTGGACTTGCACTCAAAGAATATACGCTTTTAACAACACGAGTGACGCACACAAACCCTAATGACACAAATTAACGGCAAATGGGCTAATAACAACTAAAATAGAGATGGCACGATGACAAACAAAATTACTGACGCAAACATCGAAAGACATTCTCATTAACAATAACGAACTACAAACACGATGCACGACAGACAAAACTAGTTGTATAACAAGAGGTTTCCTTTTAGTCTGGGATGTTAGAACATGAATCGTGCAAATTGTGATACCAACATGAAAATGGGTACACTGGGGCAATTTGACACGTTGATAATGATGCCGAACAGACACAAGCTGAAAAACTATGTATGAATGAAATCCAAATGGAGGACTGGGATTAAGTACCCCAGTCTAAAAATAGCACTTGGGGGCATTTTTCGGCTTGTGTCTGTTTGGCATCGTCATTAGCGTGTGAAATTACCCCCAGTGTACCCATTTTCATGCTGGTATCACAATTTGCACAATTCAAGTCAAATACTGTGCTAAGAGCCCAGACTATTTTGTTATGTTTGATTGATTCCATGGAGTTCATTACATTCTGAGCCCCCTAGACCTCGAGCCTCAAGATCCTGGGGCAGTTGATACTGCCAGCACTTGTATTGCCAGAATATCGGGGCCAGTCGTTCTTGTAGTGGCGTCATTTTTCTGAAGATCAAGATTAAAAATTTCATGAAAAAGTGGAAAAAATGAAGTTTACAATTCTCTTTATTCACTTTCTTTTGAGTTGGATACATACAATAGTAGCTATGGCAAGGCTAATTAAAGCCATCTATATATATATATCAACAAACACAAAATTTAACAGTAACAGTAACAGTTACAGTAATAAATGAATAACTAAATACATATGTTGAGTAGCCAGAGAAGAGACAGGGTGTTTAGTAGCGAAATATATACATAACCTTTTAGCATTTACACAAAAAGCTAACATAACTCAGCAGTAAGTTCGTTAAGAATGTCAAAAGCGATTATTCAAAGCAATTACGAATGTCATGTGATTGTCATGTGACTTATGTGACTCTACCTGACAACATAAATGTACAGTAGGTTCTCTGTTTGTCTTTGTAACTGTGCCTAGTATTCCCTTGAACATGTCGCTAGCTTTAGCTTGGTTGCTATGTCTTACCATAGAAGACAAATTTGAAAACTAAACATGGGAATTTGATCCAAAAGAGATGTCATTGTCGAAGATGTTCAACCAGTAACGACTTGGCTTAAATAAATTGATTATTATTATTATTATTATTATTGGCTTAAGGAAAAAATCGAGAAACCTGATCCAGAATAACTTGGTGCCAGCACAAAATGTTGGATTTTCGATTTTTCCATTGCCTTAACTTGGCTTGCAAGAACTATTTGCTAACAGAAAATTTCTCAAAGAGAAAGGTCAGCTGTTGAAAGGAATGAAACTGCTGGGAAGAATGTTTTCGAGGATATGAGGAAAATAATCGACAGATTTGTTCTTTAAAAAGCATTATCAAGAAATTTTTAAGTTTCATTGTATCGATTATCCATTCCTACAAGGAAAGAGAAAAACTAGAGGTAACGATAGATTCTACTATTATAACTCTTTTTGACAAGCACAATTTGAAAGATTTTTAGTTAAAAGCACTTTATACTCGAGAAAATTACAGCATACTTTCCCAACTAGGAAAGCACGCCAATTCAAAGAAAACAGCAAGCAAGTTGGCGATTTCTCGTGGTCAAATCAAAATTACTGCTCCCAGGGGCAGAGGGAGGGGCCTCGTGGCAAATGGATTCTAGAGGGGGCAAGAAAAATATTTTCGACAACAATTTTTGAGTTATTTTAATCAAATAGAACGATTTCATGAAAGTGTAAGAGGGGGGGGGGGGGGCAAAGAAACTCACAATGGTTACCTTAGCTGGAAAATAATTTAAAATACAAATTTATCTTGCCTCTGTTTCTTCATACCTAATTGCGTACGTTTCTGACACCTTGAATCTTCTAGATCGGTAGATCAGGAATGGGTAGACTAAATTTACTACCTTAGGCGGCACCATGGTTGCCGCCGAAGGGCTTTTTCATAATTTTAATGCTACATGCTCGTTTTCAAATGTTTTACTTTATGCAACATAACTGCATAAATTTTAAATTCTGGTGATAGGAACAAAATTGGCACTGTCCTAGACCTTAATATCAAAATAAGATATAATTTAAGACCATCATTGACCAATCCATAACTAAATTTGGTCCTTGAAGGTTCGGATTTTAACTGGCAAAGTCCGAGCAGCGAATTTCTCTATGGTAGAAATTGGTAAATTCTGCTAAATCGTTTTGTTTTTGTGGAAATCTAGTACCTTCTTTACAAGAGTGAATCGCCCATCGACAGTACGGAAAGTTCTTCAGTCCAAGAAATTGTTGTAAAAGGTTCGTTTCACCTTTCCTTTTTACCAAAAGATCAAGTTTGAGAAATTTCCGACATAACAATGATTTTTCCGAAAATCCGCTAAATTTTGGAGATGGGGCCACGGCCCCCCTCCCCCCGACCACGACGCTTCATTTCATTTTCATTTAAATATATTTATACACAAATTAACCCTCCAGCAAATCAAAATCTAAGCAAAATAAAAACAAATTTAATTAAGAATCTAATTACATTGATAACAAGCCTAATAATTAAAGATTATAAGACCTACAAATCTTATCTACCTATTGCTGTTCTTCCAGGGAGTTGTGTTTTAGCGTTAGCTCTTTAGATATGTCTTAAGTTGTTTTTTGAAACGATCTACTGTCGGTAGTTCACGAATTTTAGCAGGTGTATCATTCCAAGATTTGAGAGCTGCATAATGAAAGCCTTTTTTTGCAAATTCAGTCCTATGCAGTGGCGGTTTTAAGGGGGTCCACGGGGGCCATGGCCCCAGGCCCCTCGCTTTTGATAGCCAAAAGAGGCCTCACACCTAAGAAAAAAGATGGAAATTGTAAAGAACAAGGGCTTCGCAGATGTTTGTGGCCCGCAGTCCCTAAAACCGCCACTGGTCCTATATCTAGGGATCGTATTATAGGTCGAGTGAAAAGATATCAGCTGGTATTTACCCCTTTCAAAGCACAGTCTGTTTATTATCTTATAGGTCATACCATTCCGATCATAACGGAGAAAATTTTCTACGTTTTACCAGTAAGGCGACCAATTGTCTTTTATTCTTGCGTTTGTTATTATGGAACACGCCCGATCTTGAAGGTGTTGAAGCAGGGGCGGACTGGCTGGTCGGGCTATTCGGGCGATCGCCCGAAGGGCCGGTCGGTTTGAGGGCCGGCTGATAAAAGTGCAAAAAAATAAATAAGCTTAAAAAGTATACCCACGCGTTGATCTGTTTGCCTTGAATTTTCAGAGACACTTGAATTTGAATTGTGGGAAAGAATAAATATACATGCAAGTACTCGAGAACCATTAAAATTATGAATTCATTATGAATTCATTCAGCCCAGACACACTTCTTCAGGAAACATGTTATTGTTATATTTTCTCTTGACGGTATTTTCTTATTGGCGACATACTATACTGTAACACCCCTGTTTCAAGGCGATACATAAGATTTTAACCTGCCTTGATGTCTTCTTACTTAGCTTTTGCTTGAAGCTGGTCATGTTTTTGCCTAAGCACAAGCTATTGCTAAATGTAATAAATTTAAAAGTTATTAGAGTTCACTAAGCGATTTGCTCTGTGATTTGGAGCAATAAAGAGGACATACGTAGAACGAGGAAGAGCAAGAAGACTTCAATCAAAGGTGGTGCATAGAAATTTCGCGAGGAAAAGCTGCGAGACTTAAAAAAAGGATTCAGCTACGATACAAAGCTTTTTTATCAAGCAAAAGCCACAAACATCACAAAAAACAGCAGGGTCTTGCTCTTGCTCCTTTCAATAAACTAAAACAAGTTATGGAAAGTTTATTAGGCCTACGCTATCATAAGTCAAATGCACCCCCTGCCCAACAGTATGGTAAGGTGCTACACGATAAAATTTCAACAGGGGTGCCCATGTTTTCTTTTTGGGGTCAGAAATTGACAAATTGATATTTTTGGGTTGCTGAAAATCATTGTGGTTTTCCGGAGGATTAGAAAATTATTTGTCACCAGTGGAGTGTGATAGAAGCCTTTCCACTTTAAATAAATAAAGAACAGGTTACGTAGTAATTTTTCGCAGCCAAACCTGGAGTCCTTCATGTTAATGTTCTTAGAAAAGCACCTGTTAAATGACATCCAGAACGATAGCATTATCAACATATAAGTTCCTGTATTTAGAAACTTGTTTTCCTTACAGACTAACATTTACTTGTATTTTCCGAGGAGTTTTTTATTTGCTATTATTGTGGGCCGGTTTGATCAAAATTTGCCCGGGCCAAAATAATTAGCCAGTCCGCCCCTGTGTTGAAGAGCTATTTTTGTTTTTGATAGACTATCCCATCCCAGTTAACATACTAAGCGATTTCACAGTTTTTGCCGCCATTATGAATAGGCAAAAATGGCGGACGCGCAGCAAACGAGCAAATTACCGCAGAATTTCCAGTCAATTTTGTAGCTAGAAT